CTGTTCATACAATTACTAACATTATATAGTAAGCACATACAAAACTGCATTCTATCTTGTTGCTTTCTTATTAGCATCACCATCTCCACATCAGTGTGTGGGCCCTATTCTGTGAGATACATTAAAGGGTGGTATACAGTATCTTTAGGCCCCTCTCTGCTGATTTTACTAGTTGATTTTGTGAACAATAACTTTCCATTATGATGCATTGAAAGACTGATAGTTTAGCTGACTAGATGGTGGTGACAATGTCAACAAAACTGTGCTCATTTGTTTGATTCCCTCAACATTTAGGTGCAACACATCAGGTTACACTGAATTGTTTATTCTTTCAGATAAAGTTTGGACAAGTTCAATCTTGCTCGCCACCTGTTGCTTTGGACCCCAGCTGCTTCTTCTCCTGAGGAAATTGGATTATTTTCCGTTTAATTGTCAGTGCATGCCCTCGTCACCTTCCTTTGTTTTATTTCATCTCTAAAACAAATGTCAATAACAAAAGCAGAATGACATTAATAAAATGCACCGCTGTGTTACAACCAATTTCAGAGAGGCCCCCGCTGTGAGACGGACTTTTTGATATTCTGTGGAAGTATTTGAGGAGAGGAGGGAGCGATGTCCCAGTGAGGGGTCCTGCTGGCCCAGTTGGGAGGCCTGTTCATTAAGAGTTCCCTCACTTACCAACAGCTTCCTTTGGGCTTTGCCTGTGGTGAGATGTGAGCCGGGAAGAGCAGCGTGTGTCCATATGAATTAAGAAAGCCAGGTTTCCAAATGTACTCGGCCTGTCACAATTTTATATCTGAAAGCTTCAAGATTCAACAACTGAGAAAAAGGAGGTCTCTATATTTATGTGCATTTATGTGCAGTGTTAGTATTTTCCTTGTTGAGTGATATGTTAATGTCAATGTTATGGGACTTTTGTTAAATACGTCAACAAAAATGATAAATACGATTTATGGATTTAGTTGTAGTTAGTTGGGTTGTCACAAGTTAATCAGTTAATTATCTAAATAGTTGAAATTTCTCCACTGTGAGACTAATAAAGGTTTATCTTATCTATCTCTTATCTTAAATTCATCAAATAATCATTTTTCTGAACCTCCCAAACATGTTGAGAAGAGATTATGACATCAAACAACCCACTGTGTAACAAGTTTTCTCTTCAAAGTTCTCCAGGGGCAACACAATCCCATGGTCCCTGGTCTGCGGTCGGGAAGTAGGCTCTGCGACGCCCCGCAAGACGTGACGGTTTTTGATATTTTTTATACCAATCTGGATCCCAATATGTTTATCAAAAACACAGTAATCATTAATTACAGCCCTTGTTGTAACCTTGATTACTTCCAAGTGATTTCTTCAGCGTAATGAATAAAACATGCAATAAAGTCCAGTGCAAGCGTTTATTATTATTACTGATGTGGCAGGGAGTGGGATGAGGCCCCGAGTGGAGTGGATGGTGGAAAAAGTGGTTGTTCTGAAAAAGATAATAATTCACACCGACTCATATCTGTTTGGTTGGGTGTCTAAAAAGGTGCTCATAAAATGCAAAATTTATTTTTGTTTATTGTTTGATGGTTAACTATTGTTTAGTTCTGTATATTGATAGTTTAATTGGCATAGTAGTCAATAAAAAAATTTTCCACTCAAGATTGTTCCCAAAATGAATCATTGTGGCAGAGCTTGTTACTCTGTCTGTGTTGTGAAAAGTCACATTGTGCCCTTTATTTTCACCTGCATTGTTTTGAGATGACCACACCTGAGCCCTATGACACATACTGTAAGAACACACAGTTTACATTTTGAAGATTGCATTAGTTGTGTCTCATGCAAACATTTATTTTCAGTGATTGTTCAGTTTTGTTCCGATAAAACCACAAGCCTCAAATGTATCAACTATTTGACGCCAGACACCGAACTTCTCACTTCTCTAATTTTTCACAGCCTTTTCTGTGTTTGGTTGACACCTCCTGACTTGCATTTTCACGCTCTAGAAGAAATAGAAATTGTATCTAATTTTATCCGGCATCAGTTCAGAATTGGCACTGACTATTTTTAAGAGCATCAATTATATTAGCTCGTGCTGTGTTGTGGGGATCGGATCAAACGAGGACAAGAAGCAAGTTTGTAGGTTTGCAGGCTGTTCTTTTTCTGAAGATGTTCCTGAGTGGCTTCACTTCAGCTTTGTGTTGGTCTAAGTTCTGAACAAAACACTTTTTACAAAACAGTCAAGACCATTATGTGTACGGTTTTACTGAATATTTTCAAAATTGGATCCCAGTTATGCGATATGTTTACATTTATGATTTAACTTCCAGGTTTAAACCATGACATCAGAGGAATGTACAAGGAAAGTGATTTTCACAAACCACTTTGCTTTAGTGGAGGAAAGTACGTATAAAAGTACCATCATAAATTATGCCAAACTGCTGAATTGTGAATCTCCCTCTTGTGATGTCACACTGTCCTACCTACCTCCTGTACACGTCTTTATTATACTTTTTATTTTTACATTTCCTAAACAAACTTTGGTTTCATTGGTGTAAAATATAATTAATGATGGTGTAAGATAATTTATGAATGAGTGATTGTTTGTTTATTTAAGGGGCAGTGTGAAGATACATTAAAAAGATGGCTACACCAGATTTAGCATCATGCTTGTTTCCATATTATTTCCACATTCCATATTATTTATATTTAAAACAGAATGACACAATGATAGATATTGGCCATGCACACCTAAATCCTTCAGACGCTGATGCATCTGACTCATCGAGACATGCTTTGCCCCATGAAGTCACCCGGTCACTATTTTAAGCATATGAATGACAGTGTAATCTGAAAATCTTGTTTCCTTTATTTCAGACTTCAGAGTGGTGTCAGAGGTTGCTACTGTAACCAAGATATTGTAACTTTAATGTTTTTGAGTGCAATGTTTTCTTTTAACTGTTTGATCTATAAAACATAGACATACATTGCTGAATGAGAGTTCCATCTCCGGAGTTTATCATGGCAGTCTGTACATTCTGTCTTAAAGTTTAACGGCCTAAATATGTCATCATTAAAGTGTGTTTTGTGTCCTTAAGGTCTCAATGTCAGAGAAACCGTTTGGTGCATCTCATGATTTGAGCTGCCTGTCAGAACCAACCAATGAGAGAAATATATTTTTGATTTAAAGCAAACACACACATGTTATGGGAGTTGAATATAAAATACATAAAAACAGAACACATTATTGCAGAATTCACACACAAATTTATAAACTGTCTATCTTTGCTCTGAAGCAAGACTGGAGGAGAGACATTTTTCTCTTCTGACAAGATTCATATGGCATGCACAAATTGTATTCTCAAGATATTTATTTGAATGTTGAGATAACATGTTCTTCTTTTTATATGTTATGGCAAACATTCCACATTGAGAACCCGCCTTTATCTTGAGAAATCAAATCAGAGGCTGGGAATAGCAAATATGGCTCTCCTAAAATAAATATGTTCTTGTCTGGAGTTCAGATATGTGCGCTATACCCATATGCAGTCTATTTTGTTCAACATGCTCCAACGGGTAATCTATTCCAACAAAAAAACAAAAACAAAAAAATAGGTAAGCATTCCTAGGAGTCACTTTTCAAATTCTGCCCTTTTCCTTTCACGGGATGGATGTAGTGATCTTAGGCAGCTGAGGATGTTGTAGACAGATTCTTCTTGTGGCGTTGGGACACTGCCTCATCTGGAGTGAGTCCACAGGAGCTGCTCAGATGTTTCGCCTCCCTTCTGCTGCTAATCTCAAATTAATTGACAATATTTGTTTGGCGTCCATTTTTATATAATTAGTCGATTACAAAACAGGCTCTTAATCATTTGGTTTTTTTTTTAAATGTCAAATGTTTATCAGTCAAAAGTTTTTCAGTCAGTATTTATATGTATTTCTGAATCTCACCTAATCATATTATAAATTAGAGCGGCCCCTAGAGACCCCCCATCCACCTCAGAGAAGCAGCTCCTGACATGGATGAGAGCTGGTTCCACTGTTCAGGAGCTAAAAACTCTGCCTCCCACTTTGCTCTAAGACAATTGTGGGGCTATTTTTCACACAGAAACAATGCACTGTTATAAAGGCGATGTGTTGTTGCAATTCCGATTAAAATTTAATTTTGTGCAGAAATTAGTTGACCACATTTGGAAAATCTGTAAATTCCATTCCTTAGTGTTAGATGTTAGCCAATGCTAGCCATGTTATTGCTGCTAAACCTTTTAAACAACTATGCAATAACACTTTAAATCCATAATGAACTGTGTGTGTGTGTGTGCGTGTGTATGAATAGGTGAAAAGTTCCTTAAAGTAAAGTTAAAGCTATAGTTCTAAAAATCTAAATGTACAATTTCAGTTTTTTCAAATAACTATCCCAGTCCCCAAACCCACCCAGCTCCATTCATCACTTGCGTCGCATTCTCAGTCAATGTTATCTCCAGTTTCCACCCATTTCTCATCTGTCATCCGCACGTCCCTTTACAACTCTACCTCTCACTACACTCCTCTCCTTTCTGTCCCAATCCTGACCCAATTAAATCCGGAGAGGGGATGCGCCGATGTGATAGAGCAACAAGGTAACATGCAAGACGACTTAGGACACAGGAGGAAAGGACACTACTTTGACTTTGGAGTGGATAGCCCCAAACAACTGCCACAGACCTGCCAGGAGGAGGCTTGCCCAACTTTTACCTGTTACTTAAACAACGTGTGACAGCGAAAGGGGGCGGACATCAGTGGCAGGGGGAAGCTGGGGGGAGAGGGGGAGTGCAGCGGTCCAGGCGACACTTCTGCTCCCACACTGTGAAGATGGAGATACGGCAGGAATAATAATTTTGCGAGTGAGAATGGCATCGTAAGGGAAGCAGCAGAAGGCTCGCTGTAGTCCCAGGGTGGAGCGGTGCACACACAGCAGAGCTTCTTTTTTTTCTTTCTTTCGTTTTTTTTTTTTTTCGGGGAGCATTCTTGTTTTAAGGATGCATTTGTTCTTCCAAAAATGGGAAGTGGAAGGTCTGCAGACTCTCGGCATCCTCTTGGTTGTATGCAGCTCGCTAAAACTTATGCACTTTCTCGGGCTTATCGATCTGTCCGTGGAAGGTAAGAAAAGCAGAGAAAACGGTCGACGCTGAAAGGATTCATTAAGAAGCAAAAGTGGTTGTTTATGTGTGTTTTTGCCTGACCTAATTTCATTTCTGTCATTCCTGTCACGTCTATTTATGGACTTCTGAAGTGGAACATCATTTTTGGATCTGTTTGCCCTCTATCCAGGAATGCGCTACTATTTTTTGTTTTGTTTTGCTCATTCACACAGGAGCAGGGCACTTTCCATATCATTACAAACAGTTATGTAATAAGTCTCTCTAAGGAGTTGTGGAAAATCTGCCAAAACACACTTTCTGACGTCAGATGCATTTTATTTGCATGGCCAGATACAGTTCAAGAGTGAATGAAAGTAATCCACCCCCAACGTGCTAAGTGAAAACCATTATTTGTATATATTATTTATGTTGCTTAAACAAATATCCAAAGTTCTAATAAACATTTGAAACTACCCAACTTGGGCGCTCATTAGCGTCTGTGGCCTGACAGCAGATAAAATGGATACAATATCAAAGATCATGGAGGCTCTCTGTAGGTCTGGCCTGTGCCACACTCTGAGGGCTCATACTGTTACTGCACAGGGCAATACAAACGTTTTATTATTTACCTGAATTTCAGATCTATACAGATCTACACAAAGTTAAGTTTTTCAAAAGAGATTAGAATATGCACTTGGAGAGTGCATACCCCACCAACACCTCTCAAAATGATCATTGGGCTTTCATGCCGTCACATCCCAACTATACACCAAAATGTATCTCAATACTTTAAGTTGTTTTTGAGCACTACAAACAAACACTTGCACCTTCACCCCTCCGTCCTCTTTTGCCGGGGTAAATAGACCATAATTAAAAGCAAAAGGCATTATTTCATGATTTTAAATGATGGTCTTAAAAATATAAGTGAGTTTTACACAAAACAACAATGTGTGATGAACGGATGACGTCAGGCTGGACTCATCTCCTAATGTCCACATTTCTATTACACTCTAGTGACTAACTCAACTAAATAAAACTATAGTCTCTCTTTGACATATTCTCTCTGTATTCTCTATTCTCTTTATTGTGCCTGCATAACATTATGACATCCACAATATACAGTACATATGGCTAGCTGATAGAAATGGCAGGATGGAGGATTTGTCCATTGTATGAGAAATCACATTAGTCCCACTGTACTCAAATGTATTTACTCAGACTTGGCCAAGAAAACACCACATAAACAAGACATTTTATAACCAAAAGAAAAATGCAGCAAAGAAAAGGCACAAACAACAGAGCAACAACGGCTCCCAGTGATCTGTGGAAACACTGTATCAAAATCTCAGACTCTAACAACCAATGGCTTTGGAAGTGGACTACAGTCTGTCTACAGGTTGATAGGAACAATCCCATCTTGAAAACATTAAAATGTGAATATTGATGTCCATGTGTGGACACAAAGCTGAGTGGGGCTGTGTTAGATGTTTACTCAAATGTAAAGGTACTGATAAAACATTAATATAAACATTTTTGGCTGTAGTTTTCTGAGCCTCATAAATGATAAAACACTTAATTACTTGAATTTATGAACATTAGAACATTGTTGAATGAGAAAAAGGAACCATAAATGAGAGACAGAACTGTTCAGAGACCAGTACCAACTTGAAGTTTATTATTATTATTATTATTATTGAAAACATCTCCACATTCTCTTGGGGGAAAATGTAGTTAAGGAAATGTGCAAATGGTTTGAATGTTCACTTTTTGACTCATCTTTTGGTAGAAATATTTGTTTTTCAGTTATTTGTTTTTTGTAATACAATTATTTTGACCTGTGTACCAACAGCCTAGACGGGGCATGAGTACCCACTTTTTATAAACGGAAAAAACATGATTTTGATATAATTATTTTTATTATGGGAGGTTTTGAGCTCATCTTATTTTTAATTTCTAGTAGTTTACTTGTCTTTGAAATTATTTCTGAACAAAATGAGGACAGGCTTAGACAGAACTAGCCTGGCCTTAGCCATCCGTAAACCCCGGTCAATTACCAAAACTGAATTTGTACAATGGTGTGGTAGGACCAGGCTAAGACAGAACCCTACCTGGACCCAAAGTCATAAAGGTTTAGTTTTCCTAAATTATCTTTAAAATGATGCATACATGTGAATCCCCAGTGATTCCCTCACACACCTCAAGGGGCCTATGCACCCCCGGTTGGGAAACAGTAGAACACACTTAATGGATAGAATTAACTGATGCAGCCCATCATAAGAAAGAAAAAAAAAGATTTTAATTTACTCACTCAGAACTCTATAAACAAAGCTGTTGATTAGAAACGAATATAATATATTTTCTGAGATTGGATTGTGAGGTCAATAATCATGGATTTTATTTTCTCAAATGTGACCTTCCCTCTACCTCGTGAACTTGTGAATGACGGAGGAATCCTACAGAGACTGTAGGATTTGCTGGTGTTGCTTCCTGGCAGGTGCGCCTGAGCTCTGGAGGTGATTGTTGGGGGGTTTCTGGTCTCTGAGGCTTCACCGTGCATTGGTAATAAAGCCACAGTTCACACGAGCCTCATCGTGGGAGCAGGAAGTGTGCATTAGGAGGTATTGGTTTCACCCTGTCGTTGCTTTCATCCTTCAGACCACTGGGGTCGTGCAGAAAGGGTTTAGGGAACTGTTGCCATGGAAACAAAGAGAAATGTGCACAGATAGGAGCCTGCATAGTGATATCATTTTAATCTACTTTTCATATCAAACAGAAGGGGAATTATTATTTTTGATAAATTATAGTTGTGTGTTCCCAGAGCGGCCTTGGTTTTAGTGTGGTCACTTCATTAAACTTACAGTAGCACCAGCAGCCGTATAGTCAAAGGTTAAAGTACTATTTGTGTGCTATCACAATGCTAAATTTAAAGATGACTTTGATATTGGAGAAAATACTCATACCATTTGTTGTATTGAGTATTCACATCACAATATCACTGTGACTAATCATAAATGCTAAATAATTGTGTTTGTACAGAACTTTTTATACACAGGGCAACTCAAAGTACTTTACAAAAAAAATAAAAAATGCTAAATCATACAAGGCATTAAAAAAAGAGCATGGATACACTCTTTCAGTTATGTGCATGAATAAACAAAACTGTTTTTAACTTTGAACATTATCAGAGAAGAAGCCTCTTTCACATTATCAGGACGACTGCAGACTTCCCATGTTTAGTCCTGACCAGTGGGGGCGGGTCCGGGCTCAACAAGGTCCAGGAGCACGTGCGCTTGCAATCTCACTTCTAGCCAGTGGGGGTGGACCCGGAATAAGAATTACCCAATGCTTTTGTATTCTACCTTTTTTCTGAGAACTGGACTAATGTGATGGTTCTTCCTGGTTCTAGCTTTATGGACATACTGCAGAACCAGTGGGCAGGCCGTTACAGTAATCTATCCCACTGGAGACAAATGGACACTATACTTTTGATTCTGACAATGTTTTTAGATGTTAATAAGCTGCTTGTTACTGATTTGATTTGGCTGTTAACATTTAAGTCTTTGAGTTGATGTTACTGTGTATTATACCTGACCTAAAGGCAGTATGTGGGGAATGGACAGAAGAGGTCCCAAATATGACCCCTGTAGCAATCCATAGGTCAAGATCTTATACTCCTTTTTAGCTCAAATACTTTTTAGAGGACCACAAGGTTTTTTGGTGCTTCTCATACTCGGTAGTTTAAAAATTATGTCCTGCCAGTTTCTTACATGTACTTGCTCAAATTATTATCTAGTTTCAATACTAGTGTCCGTATCATTTAATATATGGTTATCAGTGCTTCAACAACCAGTCTTCTCCACATGTATGCACATTTTTATTTCCTGTGTACCGGTTTTACTGTTTTTTTCGTTGTAGTTGCCATATTTGAGGTGAGACGATGCAGTATGAAAAATAATGATTTTAAAGATCAATGCTGTTTAATGTGGTCTCCCATCTCTAAGCCAAACCAGCAGACTTTGAATTGAAATTACAATGAGCATGTCAGAGAGTTGCATGCAGTGCTTTTGGGGGTTCCTGTGTGAATGTGGATTAATTAAAGTAACTTGGAAATGGTAGATTTTTTTAACATTTGTGATATTGGTTGGTGATTGCAGGTAATCCTTCCAACAGCCAAAGCAAAAAAACCATAAAGCAGCGATTCCTCAAGCTGCTGCCATGCTGCAAACCCACGGTGGTCCCCTCAATAAGTGAAAGCAAGTCTCACACACTTACATGGGAAATACATGTTATACAGTTACAAATGCTATGGTCATTGTCAAAATGATGTGATATGTCAGATATGATTTTCCACTGTTTACACTGTCACATTAATTCAGGTTTTTCAGACTCACTGATGTGGAAAGGGTAAAAATAAAAACAAAACATATTTCTGGGCAGAGCTGGAGGGACTTTCTCTGACAAGTCAAACAATGTGCTGCATGTCAGGCTGATGCTGGAAAAACTCCGGGAACTGAACTGATTAGACATCATCACCTCAGACATTACCTGTGGATCATTCACTGGCCTTCTTATCTATGTTATCAATTGCAGTATAATGAAATCTGAATGTGTGATTCTTTGTAACAAAATGTGTAAGAATGGATTAGTGACAAATGCAACTGTTTGGGTCTGAGGCCATATGTTTCAAAGTATGAGTCTCAATAAAGATACAAACAATCTGTCTCTGTTTCACAGATGTGTTTGACAATATCCTGCTTGTATAGAGTGTGTAACGCTGTTCTCCTCACAGACAGCGTGGAGGATGACTTTGAGCTGTCCACTGTGTGCCACCGCCCGGAGAGCATGGACAAGCTGCAGGAGCAGACCAAGTTCTCCAAGAAGGAGCTGCAGGTCCTCTACAGGGGCTTCAAGAATGTACGCTTCACCTCTGTAGACTTGACTGAGCTGTAAGAGTAAAATCTAATCATGTCTCTGTGTCAGGAGTGTCCCAGCGGCGTGGTGAACGAGGAAAACTTTCAGAACATTTACTCACAGTTCTTCCCTCAGGGAGGTGAGTCCACTTAAATTGGGCAGTATTTTACTGATGTTAAATCAGGCTAAATTGTATGTGTCAGTTTAGTTTTTACATTTTTGTAAATAGTTAACGACAGCACACATCTGTTTTGAGCTGTATTGGCTTCAGCAGGGAGAAGCTGCTTCAGGACTTTTCTGTTGATGAAATGTTAATCACTTGCCTGCAGTTGTATTTGATATTATTTTAGAATTTGGTCTATATTTAGCTTGCTACTGATTGCAGCTGTTCAAAGACTTTGTGAAATAATTTGTACTTTGAGAGATTGTAGTTACTCAAATCTTTTTACTCCCCCAGATTCAAGTATGTATGCACATTTCCTGTTCGAAGCGTTTGACACAAACAAAAATGGTTCAGTTAGTTTTGAGGTAAGTCTTACAATAACATACAGAGAGTGTGTTTCAGCTCACAGAAATACATAAATAAAGTTGTGAAACTACTTTTAATATTGTGAATATTTTATAGGATTTCGTATTCGGCTTGTCGATAATTCTCAGAGGGACTGTTAATGACCGGCTAAACTGGGCATTCAATCTCTATGACCTCAACAAAGATGGATGCATCACAAAAGATGTAATCCACTTTGTAATAAATCATATAATCCACAATCTTTCAGTTAGCCTTTCTTACTACTTAACAGTATTTGTGCAATTGTTGCAGGAGATGCTGGACATAATGAAGTCCATCTATGACATGATGGGGAAATATACGTACCCAACTATGCAGGAAGATGCACCGAGGGAACACGTAGAGACTTTTTTTCAGGTCAGATTCTTCTGGCTCTTCTGAACTTCTGTTGTACAATTTTAATAGTATAGACATTGTTATGCATTTAATATTTTGTTTTTCAGAAAATGGATAGAAATAAAGATGGTGTAGTGACTATAGACGAATTTATTGAGTCTTGCAAAAAGGTAAAACAACATTAATGAAACAAAAACAACTATTTACAAATATTGTCTCTGTTAGACTATTTCATAGATGTTTTTGTGCAGGACGAAAACATTATGCTGTCCATGCAGCTGTTTGATAATGTCATCTAAACTTGCGGACTACAGTTTACTATGGCTCCAGGGAGAGATGTGTGACAGAACAGAGGACTACACAGTGTCTACGCTGAGTGTGAGCGTGCGGCTGTCTCTCAGAGTATTACACAACCCCCCCTTTTACTGAAGGCAAAGAGATCATCCACCAACAACTTCACATCTCATCAACCTTAGTTTCCATAGACGACTGAATTCAAGAAACAAGGCACAACAAGAGACCTGCCATTGAAGAAAGCCTACGTGAGCGGAGGATGCCCCACCTGGTGTCACATATCTCCTGTTCCAGCTCACAGAATTCCCTCTAGCATAGGTACCACTGGGACTACAAGCCTGCTGCCAAATAAAGAACTTCAAGTTGCACCATCTAGTGGACAGACTAAGAAAGACATTTATGGGGGAAAACAAGACGCATAGATGTTGTTTTCATGAGGAACTGAATATCGCATGATGATGTCACTAATATCAAACATGTATTTACAGAGATACTCCAAAGTCTGCCTGTTTATCTATACCCAGTCATTCACAGGTGCCTCGCCCTCTATATGTGTGTATGTATTAGAAGACAACATCCTGCCAGTGTATATGTCCAATTAAAAAATTCCACCTCAAAGATTCAATGTTAGAATCATTCCAGGCCTTCCAAAATATTCCAGTATTACCCATGTGCACTGTTTGCAGTTGTACTTGTCCTAGCATTCTCGGTGATGTATTCTTACTAAACAGTACATACAAAGTCTTGCCCGCTAAACTTAAACAAAAACTGAGATTTTACCCAATATTTGACAAGAGTATTTTTAGCACACCACATTTGAGAAATCAGGTTAGCAAAAGGTTTTCCAAACAGATACAATACTGTAGTTCCACTAAATCTACCTAGAAATCTAAGCTGCTTGTATGTGTGTTTTGTTGAAAGATATTAAATATTTTTATTTAACACCAAAGAGGATACTTGTACCTTAAGAACGACTTCAACAAGTTTATCTTTGGATCAAGGAAGAAAATGACTCTGAAAACGGCCATCAGTTAAAATGGCTTTATTAATAGTCAAATGTGATGTGTTCCTAAATCCCCTCTTTTAACCCCATTGTTCAAATGTTTAAGTATTTTTGTCCCAAGACATTCAGAGGAGACGAAAGAGGTTTTGTACAACAAAATACCTTGAATAGCAATAACTATCTGTGTCAGTACTTCTCATCCTCAAACAGGTTGGAATACTACCCAAGAAAAAATATGCACTTCAAAGTTGTGGTGAATTTTGTGTATTTTATTTAATCTGCTTTGACTAGAAGTATCTCTTGCCAATTTCCTACTTCTAATCATTACAAAACCTGTCAATACCCGCATGTACTGTGTCTACGGATATTGAACAACTAACCTGTTGTACTGACTGTATAGTTAGTTAGCCTCAAACGGTTGCATTATATTATTTCAAATGTGTATATTTTGTACAGAAATAATAAATAACAGTTACTATGCAACAAGGAATTGACTTTTCATTATAGAACTGGTTATATATTTTATAGTTTTTACAGAGTTTTTTTCAGAGTTTTTACATAATTTAAATCAAACACAGTTTCATAACTTAAGTAGATATAAACAATGAAATAATGAGAACATGCGAATTGTTTTGTTCACAGTTCTATGGCTGTGGTAGACCAATGCTCAAATCATTTAAACCCAGATTAGAAGGCGGAGTAGAAGGTGAAAAGGATGTGGATTGTTGGATATTTTCTACTTGGGGACTTTGCGGAGTTCGGCTAACACCCAGACAGCCAGAGACAGCAGAGCCAGAGATCCAGACTGGTGAGTTGCTGCGATTGGAGTTGGAACGTACAATAATAAAGTGGTGATGCCCAGGGCAACCTAAAAAAGACATCCATCATTTAAATGAACTATTCCTATGAGTCAAGGCACAAACGTAAAAAGAACAGGAAAGATAAACTACCTGTCCATAAGCCATCGCTGTAAGAAGGCTGATGGCTACTTTAGCCCTTTTTGGAAGAATAACTTTTCTTGAAAACATGTAGAGACCTGTTATAGCTGCCAGAGTGGAGATTGCCTAAAAGTAAAGAATAACAACAATATAACAATCCATATCTTTAATTTATAAATAAGTTACCCACCAAAATCCTGTGGTCAAATTGAACAGTCGTCGGATTCTCAAAGAAATTCTTAAGAGTTGGAGAGAAAGCTAGCAAATCATCAGGGATCCATCTCTCTCCCATCTTGGGGAAAGAGTTATAAACCAATCCAGCATCCAGCCCGGCAACAAAAGCCCCTGAAACAAGAAGAGACTCAAGTACACTCAGTTGTATCTGTGCATACAATAGTCATGATAAAAACAACCAAGCCTAATTTGGTTACTCAAAAGAATAGTAGTGTCACTGAAACTCAATATCAACTTCACAAATGAGCAGAATCCTAATTTCAGTCTTCATATGTGCCCCAAGATAATAGCTCGGTAGATAAAAATCATATTTTACCTTTTCTGAAGAAAAAGTTCTAAATTAAGAGCTATCTTTAATTTGAAATACTGGAGGCACAATGTCCATAATATTTATGTTCATGATTTTTCAGCATACCATACGCAGAATATCCAATCATAGAGCAGAAAGTTTCTCAGGTGAAGTTTAACTGTTTTTATATATAACAAAATTAACAAGCAAAAAAATAGCATTAAAACCACACACATTGGTTTTAATGAAACCAGATATAAAGTCCATCAGTAATGCCAAGTGTTGGATTGTAATGACTTCAATAGACCACTAAGTGTGCATATTACATACTGTCACTTTAAACTAGAAAAAATACTGAGTTCTGCGTACGGCCATGAATCCACACACAAAGTGCAACATACCTGACAGAGCTGTGATAAAGACCAGTACACCAGTTCCCTTGGCAAATCTCCTGAGCAGCATTAAATTTTTTGTCTCAACAATCTGAAAAATGTAAGAACATGTGTCAATATTCTCTTAGATAAATGATTAAATGCAGTATAACCTTTAAATGATTAAATGCAGTATAACCTTTTGTGGCGACTGCAGCAGTGTCAGCCCAGTCCAGAGAGAGGCGCAGTAGAGCAGCAGGGCAGAGCCGAGGTGAGCGGACAGACGGTACTGACTGACTCTTGGGATGTCGTGTGACTCTGGCTTCTCCTCCAGACCGCTCTTAACCATGTACCATCCCAGCAGACCCTAACAGGACAGGCTAATTTACAGACATTGTACTTTATATATTTATGTTTTGTCATTTTTGAGGTCTTACCTGAAAGAAAACAAATCCACAAAGGCCGATGACCTTTCCTTTCAATGAACGAGTAAAGTATCCTTTTCTCCAAAAATATAAAGCAGGGAGGATGAACGAAAGCCCGACAAGTCTGCCCCACATGCGATGACCCCACTCCATGTAAAAGATAAACTTAAACTCTGGCAGTGTCATATCGTGATTTAGTCTAAAAGAAAAAAATATAAGTGAATACAGATTTTAATTTCCCCACTGTGGGAAAAATAAAGGATCTCGTATCTTATCTTTTTCATATTTTTCATATCAAATGTTCCATGTAATCATATCTGTCAAACAATTTCTGCACTCTCAAAACAGTTTGGTTCTATCAATAGTTTTCACATGCATGTATTTTTTTCCTCTGTCATATCTTTAGATCAGATTTTTCAGACAGAAACGTGAAAAAGAGTAGCCGGACTACGTCATCCTGCCCGATTAAATTGTATGCAGGCAGGGCAAAAGTTCAGCTGTACTCAGGCTAGAAAGCCCTCTCTTTCATTTCTTATAATTACGCAGAAAATAATATTTTGTAATACAATAAAGAGTGAGACTGCATGTTGTGGTCTGATTTGTTCACTGCATTTTACTTTAAAGGACTCTTTCCATTGGTTACAAATTCATAATATTAATTTCTGGGCTTACATTTTAAATTCAGGAAACTGTTGGTACTTGGAAAATTCTGCTTCCCATTCTTCTTGTGTCTGTGGTGGCTTCATTTCCCTCACCAGATGCCAGTCCACCATGGAGAGCCCTGATTCTGTAAGTCTATGGGGAATAAATAAAAATAATAATATACACACATTATGTGGAAATTATTTAATTCAACAATTAACAATATTCTCTCAATACCTTGTAACTCCACCCAGAACTACAGCTCCAATAACGAGGCCACTACAGCCCACAAGCCAGCGCCCCACTATTCTGTTTGTGGCTGCATTGGGAACAGCAGTGACAGTGGCAGAAGTAGATCCAACCTCTGCTGCAATTGTTCCCTGATTTCTTCTGAAAGGCCGCAGCTGTATATTGCGCAGCTAGAGAAATTATAAAGAAAAAACCATAATTAGAACACATATTTGTCACTTTAGAAGGTACACCACAGCATGACTGCAATATAGGGCTCCCAATGTTTCGTCATCAATGGTTTGTTATTTAAATTTTACATTGTACACTTTGGGTATACATAATAATATTTAAAACATTTACCACGCTTTAGTCTACTAATCTAGTGGCATAGTAGTTAATTCTGTAAAATATAAATGTAGGACGTGCATATTGCTTGTTTTTAGTCAGGTGTGCTGAAAGAAAGTACCTCATTACAATTAAGGAACCATTTATTGTGGATTTTATAGTTGTACATCACCATGTTACAGGATAGTAGGAATGAGGCGCACACAACACACGATAAGAAAATAATAACTCTATACTAAAGAAGCAAATATAAAATCTCCGCCACTGTTAAATGTCCTTTAATTTAGAATGTATATTTTTTTACATAATAATTTACGATTGTAAGGTTACCATCCATTCCATGCCATCACAACATTAACTCTAGCCTTCACACTGGTGTGGGTATAATGATCTCCGCTGACCTCCTAGATCAACCTAACTAAACCAATCCAAAGAGATCACATTTTATTTGATGGGGGGACCAGCGACCCTTCTTATACAATTACCCAAGAGATAACAAGAGAGGGATGCTGAAACAGCACGAGTCAAAAGGGTAGTTAGCATAACTCACGCTGTTTGGTTTATATCCTTGTCCTGCTCTTCTGCAGCAACAAAGTGCTGCTGTCCTAAACGTGGAGATCATCCTTTTACAAATCCTCGCAGACCACCGAACAAATATTATTCCTGAAGCTTTGATAACATTCGGTCATGTGTCGGATATACAACAACCACACTCCCAACTTTGACCTCATTGACGTCACGAATTACAAAATACACATTACGGCATCTGCCCCCTTACAATTCTATAAATATTACTCCCTTGTGACATTTGAGCTGAATATCAAAACTAAAGCGTAAAAAGGTATATTATATTTTATTGTATTATAATTTTGCAATAAACAGTGTGAGATTGTAATTTACTTCTTCACTTCTTGCTCGGGCGGAGGTGGCTTGGTAGAATATATCTCCGCCCGTCAGACAAGTCTAAAAAATATCAAACATTCCGGAAGCAGTTCTTTGGTCAGGTGGTCTCTCCCATATACAGTCTTTGGTTTGTTCCATAATCTGGTCACAAAACAAAATGCCAATTTCTCTGTAGTGATCACACAAGCTCAAATGCATCATATTGACATACATTTACAGGTACTTGAAAAAACGGGTCTAGTCATTTTAAGAATGCGTTGCTGTTTTGTCAAATAAATAGCCGCTGGTTTCATGTTATTTTCTTCTAGTATGTCAGAAAGCTTTTTAATGGAGGTGTGTGTGGACTCAGTGGAGTCAGCTGTCAATGCTCAACGAGGAGGTTTGTCAAATGAACCGCAGTATAATAGAATGTATAACATTCAGTGCTTTAGTCATTGTTGTCATTAATGCAGGCGCAAGTCGTCTTGAACTGTGTTCTAGTCTTCTGGAGGGGGGCCTCACCCCTAGTATTGGTAAGGACCATTTGTGTTATCTAAAAATAAGATTTTGATGCATTTCATATAATTATGTATTTATTGCACATTATAGATTACACAATTATGTTTGTATACAAATAGTATATTGAAATGCTGTTTTTACAGGTCTTTTACACATTGTGAAGCAGCATGTGAAAATCCCTGTTTATGTAATGATTCGGCCTCGTGGGGGAGATTTCCTGTACTCTGACTTTGAAGTGGAGGTGATGAAGAAGGATATCGAGTTGATGAAACACAATGGAGCTGATGGGCTAGTTATGGGAGCCCTGACAGAGGACGGACGTGTGGATTCTGAGCTCTGTTTGGAGTTGCTGGGTATATCATTAACATTTCTCTTAAAGCCTCAATGCAAAGTAATTCTTCTCTTCTTTCATAAATTCTCTTTCCCCAGCATGTTATATAGCTTGTCACGCAATCAACCATTGTCCAAACTAAAGTATTATCTTAACTATATTAGCATTGAATCATACAGGTGATGTGTCACCTCCAGGAATCTGCTGGGAGATATTGTTATAAAACTATAGCATTTACCAAGCAACATTTCGTGGAGGCACGTAAAAAGCCTCCACGGTGGTGAACTGTCGCAAAATGGGTCGAAAAGACGTTATAAGTTTTTATTTTATTATTATTATTAATTTTTTTTGTACAATACTACTGGGTCACACTAGTCTAGTTACTTCAAATATGTTAAATTTTTGGTGTTTCTTTCTTTTTTTTTCTCCCAGTGCTTTAGTCTTAACTCTAAGAAAGCAGCAATAAAATATTAATAATTAAAAATACTTATTATAAGTCAGTGCCTTAGGCATCCTATCTCTGTTTCCTTTTACCTTTTTTTCTATTTGATTGCCTGCATCGTGTGAGTGTGTGTGTGTGTGTGTGTGTGTGTGTGTGTGTGTATTTTGAGGGAGATTGTATGTGCTCACTTAAATGTTCATGTTGCTGTGTGCCTGTGTCTGTTGTGTGTCTGGGGCCCTCATTCTGTGATAATCATACGCCCTCTCCCTCTGACCATGTTTCTGACATAATAACAGATGTATAATCCTGATAGTGATGATAGCTCCTCTGAAGTCGAGGATGATCTATGTACTAATGCTTACAATCTAGAAACAATTAATAATTTATCTGACCATATTGACTGTAAATTTCAAACATTCATGCACTCAATTGATCCAGACAGCAATATCCTTAAAAATGACTGTTTATATTATACAGTTCAGATCACTTCTGTGTATTTTTTGACATGTGTTTTGATAGTAAACAACCATATATATCTGAATCTGCAATTGTCAGACACAGACACATAAATGAAAACACAACCGAACTATTCATGGGAATGATAAACTTTGAGAACACATTGTGTTCTACTGTTGACGAATTGTTTAACTCTGTCACCGCCAATGTTATAAATGTTCTGGACATCATCGCTCCTGTGAAGGTTAAAATGATTACAAATAAGCCAAAGGCCCCCTGGACTAAAATGGACTCAGTCATGGTACAGAAGAGAGAGTGCCGTAGGGCCGAGCGGAAGTGGCGAAAATCCAATCTCCAGGTTGATCATGATATCTTCAAAAATGAGTTGTGCAAGTTTAACAGGGTGCTACGTAGAACAAGAGAAATTTATTTTTCTAAAACCATTGATGGCTGCAATAATAATCTACGACTTATGTTTTCAACAGTTAACGGATTAACAAACCCCCCTGTTCAGCTGCCATTCGAATTTGCTTCAGAATCTAAATGTAATGAGTTTGCACAATTTTTCAATGACAAGGTTCAGAGCATCAAAAACGCCATCACCTCCAAGGCAGAAATAACATTACAACAGCCGGTGAGGCTGTTTGAGCTATCGCACTTTGCACCAACAGATAATGAAACTGTCCAAGATGTTGTCTCTAGCCTTAGTTCCTCCACATGTAGCCTGGATGTACTACCCACTAAATTTTTTAAGTCTGTTTTGAGCAGTCTTTTACCTTTGCTCACACAAATAGTGAACATGTCTTTCTCATCTGGAACATTTCCAATGGCCCTGAAAACGGCAGTCATCAGACCCCTCCTAAAAAAGAGGAGTCTAGATGCCACAGTTCTTAAGAATTATCGCCCCATTTCAAATCTGCCGTTTATGGGAAAAATTCTGGAAAAAGTTGCTTACCAACAACTTACAGAATTCTTAGTAACTAATAGTTCGTTTGATGCGCTCCAGTCCGGCTTTAGAGCCAATCACAGCACTGAGACTGCACTAGTGAAGGTTACAAATGACATCCGACTTAACACCGACACAGGAAAAGTCACAGTTTTAGTAATGTTGGATCTGAGTGCTGCGTTCGACACAGTCGACCACGAGATCCTCATGCAGAGACTAGAGCACTGGGTGGGTGTCACTGGGACTGCCCTAAGTTGGTTTAGGTCTTACCTAGAAGACAGGAAATACTTGGTTCAGATAGGAAACTGTGTCTCAGATCATATGGCTCTGACCTGCGGAGTGCCACAGGGATCCATTCTGGGGCCTCTTCTGTTCAATATTTACATGCTGCCGTTAGGTCAGTTAATACGCTCCAACAATGTATCCTACCACAATTACGCTGATGACACTCAAATTTATGTCTCACCTTACTGCAGGAGAACATGGACCAGTGGAATCACTCCTTCACTGTACTCAACAGATTAGTGATTGGATGCAAAATAACTTCCTTCAGCTAAACGCAGACAAAACAGAATTTGATTGTCTTTGGTCCTCAGAAACAAAGAGAGAGCGTTATTCGTCACCTCCAGTCTCTCTCCCTGGAACCTGTAGGCAAGGTCAGAAACCTAGGAGTTATAATGGACTCAGACTTAAATTTTAACAGTCATATCAAATCAGTAACATCAGCAGCATTTTACCATCTGAAAAACATTGCCAAAATTAGAAACATAGTGTCTAAATCAGATCTGGAGATTCTCATCCATGCATTTGTCTCCAGTAGGTTAGACTACTGCAATGGCCTGCTCACAGGTCTCTCCAAACAGGCTGTAAAACAACTGCAGTATGTCCAAAATGCTGCAGCTCGAGTCCTGACCAGGACCAGGAAATATGACCACATTAGTCCAGTCCTCAGGTCTCTGCACTGGCTTCCTGTGGCTCAGAGAATAGACTTCAAAGCAGCACTGCTTGTGTACAAGTCTCTCCATGGCCTCGCACCAGGGTACTTAAGCGACTTGTTAGTCCCATATGAACCGGCCCGGACTCTGAGGAGCACAGGAGGTAGCCTCTTACTGGTTCCAAGAGTCAGAACTAAACATGGGGAGGCAGCGTTTGAGATTTATGGAGCTAAAATCTGGAACAATCTTCCTGAAGATGTGAGGCTAGCATCTACTCTGGCAATTTTTAAATCAGGGCTAAAAACTGTTCTTTTTAGCTGTGCATACGGCTGAAGGATTTTTATTGATACATACTCTTTTTTTTTTTTTTTTAATGCATTGTGGTTATTTATTATTTTAATCCCGTGTGTGCTTTTAATATTTTTTTTTTTTTTTTTTTTTTTTTTTTCCATTACTTGTGATTTTATTCTGTTTTTAATGTATTTATTGATGTCTCTGATTTGTGTGATATTATGTGGGTTGTGAGGCGCTTTGAGTGGCCTTGTGTTGGAAAGGCGCCATACAAATAAAGTTGATTGATTGATTGATACTGACAGCACCTACGACAAAACATTAACTCAAGAAAAAAACATATCTCTAATTCATTTTAATAGTAGGAGTTTACGTTGCAATTTTGAAGCCATCCAAGACTACTTAAATCAACTCAAGTCTAAATTTAATATCATAGCTACTGTATTTCAGAAACATGGTTGAATGATGATGAATGTGACACGTTTGATCTAAAAGGTTATGAAATGTTCTGCACAAATCGCCAAAATAAGAGAGGGGGAGGTGTGGCTCTCTATATTGATACAAATATTCATTGTAGTATTGTGGACAGCATGTGTTTAGTAGTAGACGATCTACTCGAATGTGTGACTGTAGAATTAGTACTTCCTAAAAAGAAAAATATTATTGTAAGCTGCATTTACAGGACACCAAGATCTGACCTAAAAAAATTTAGGGAATGGACCGAAAAAGTATTTGTTAATAATAACAAAAAATATATTATATGTGGAGATTTTAATATTAACTTATTAAATCCCCAAAAACATAAAAGTACAGAAGAGTTTATTGACACCATGTTTTCCCTGGGTTTGTACCCACTCATCACCAGACCCACCAGAATTACATCACATAGCACCACACTCATAGACAACATATTCTGTAATCTTTTAGACAATAATGTAATTGGTGGTTTGTTAGTGAACGATATCAGTGACCACTTACCAGTGTTCATGGTATACGATCTTAACTGTAAATTATCTAAATCTGTTCAAAGTGAATATTATTGTAGAGTCATAACTGATCAATCAATTACCGCACTAAAGAATGAATTGGCGACCCAAAACTGGGAACCCATTTATCAACTAACTGACGTAAATGCAGCTTTCAATACCTTTCTTGATACATTCCTTACGCTCTATAATAAACACTGCCCCATCAAAAAATCTACTGTCAGAAAACACACAAACACACCCTGGATAACTAAAGGGCTTTCAAACAAAAAAATGTTCTATATAGGCAATTCTTTAGGTACAGAACCAGTGAAACTGAACAAAAATATAAAAAATATAAAAACAAATTAACCAGCATACTAAGAGCAAGTAGAAGAGAATATTATACCGATTTATTGATTAATAAAAGAAATGATACTAGAGGAATATGGAAAGTCTTGAATACCGTTATTGGTCGTGATCCCAGCAGCTCATGTTATCCAGGGTACTTTGTGGACAATGACACAATAATACGTGACAAAACGACGATTGCAGACAAATTCAACAATTTCTTTGTGAACATTGGTCCTGAACTGGCGCAAAAAATACCATCTACCGACGGACAAATTAAGGGACTAATCGAGACAAACCCTAACTGTATGTTCCTCACTCCAACCGATGAGAGAGAAGTCATGAAAGTCATCAGGAACTGCAAAAACAAGACATCTCAAGATATAAATAACATCGACATGAGGACTGTTCGAAATGTTGCAGAAGAGATCATACATCCATTCACATATATCTGTAACTTATCCTTCCAACTTGGTTGTTTTCCATTGCAAATGAAGATCACTAGAGTCATACCTATCTTCAAATCTGGGGACAAACATCAATTCAATAACTATCGGCCTATTTCCCTTCTGCCACAGTTTTCAAAAATTTTAGAAAAACTATATAACAAAAGACTCCGGAGCTTCATCGAAAAGCATAAACTATTTTCTGATTGTCAGTATGGTTTCAGGGAAAACAGGTGTACTTCACATGCATTGATTGACTTACTAGAACAAATTACAAATGGTATTGAAAAAAATAAATTTGTTGTCGGAATCTTTATAGATCTTCAAAAAGCCTTTGATACCATAGATCATCAGATTCTAATAAAAAAGATGCAGGACTATGGCATAAGGGGAGTAGCAAATAAATGGTTGGTGAGCTATCTATGCGAGAGGAGACAGATTGTTGAGATTGATCAATATAAGTCAGGCTTTCTGGACATAACTTGTGGAGTACCGCAAGGGTCCATACTTGGACCTACACTATTCCTGATGTATATTAATGAAATATGTAAAGTGTCTACCAAAATGAAATTCATCCTCTTTGCTGATGATACCAACATTATTTATGCCAATGAAAACCTTGAGCAACTTTTGGCCTTGGTAACAGTGGAAATGAATAAGTTAAAACACTGGTTTAATATTAACAAACTGTCACTGAACCTGAAAAAGACAAAAATCATGCTCTTTAGTAATCGTAAACATAATATACCTATTAGAATTGTTATTGATGACACACCAATGGAGCAAGTCCAACAAAACACATTCCTGGGTGTTATCATTGATGAAATAATCTCCTGGAAACCACACATTTGTTACCTGAGAACAAAAGTTGCCAAATGTGTCGGAATGATGAACAAAACATGTAATTAACTGTACACCAAAGCTCGACTCCTACTGTATCATTCAATCATAATGTCACATCTACAGTATATTATTGTGTTGAAGTTTGGGGAAATTGCTATGCATCCCATCTAAAGCCTTTGATTACCCTACAGAAAAAGGCCATTAGGATTGTCTCTGGTGTACACTACAGACATCATTCTAATCCACTGTTTGTAGAGTTGGAAGAACTCAAACTGCAGGATGTGATCAACTTTAAGACTGCTCAAACTATGTTCAGGGCATCTCAAAACTCTCTGCCTCCTAAAGTTCAAAACTTATTCCACGATAGACACGATCGTCATAGTTACAAACTTAGAGGAAACCAAATTAAATATCTACCTAAATTTAGAACTACTCTAAAGTCAATGTGTATCTCAGTGCGGGGAGTGAAACTTTGGAATAACTTGCCAAATGAATTAAAAAACTGCTCAAGCATAATTCATTTCAAACAGTTGTTTAAAAAAAATGTTTAAAAAAAATATAAAGAGGAAGGAGAGTGATGCCCTCAACATGAAGTAAAGAGGTGAGGGTGTAGGGTCAGAGAGTGTTTGGCCCGTGTCTGTGAGGTGTTGTGTGTATCTGTGGTGTGTTGTGTGTGTGTGTGTTGTCTTGTTTTGTCCTGTCTCTGTAGTCATGTCATGTATTAGTTCATTCTATGTACCGTATAAGTTTCCAGCTGTTTACGAATGATCCTGTATGTATAAGGTTCTTGTACTGTACTTTGTGTTGAATGTGTGAGGGGGTTGGAATTCAATAAGCATTTGCTTCATCCACCTCCTTTTCAAACCATGCACCTGTATATTTGTCTGTTATGTTGATTTTTGAGATGATGATGTTTGTGCAGGTTTTGAAATAAATAATATCTATCTATCTATCGATTTATCAGTCTCAATTTGCTGTAGAATACCTCACAAACTAAATGGGGATTTTCTCTGTGTTTACCGTAATTGCCTCTAGTCACCTTTGTAAAAGTTTATACCCATAAACTACATATTAATATAACTTATAACATGATTTATCTTCCTTGTAGTTGCTGCTCGTCCCTTACCAGTCACTTTTCACAGAGGTAACATTCAATTTGTTTGTCATTTCATATTACCCTATACTACACTACATTAGACTATACCATGTAAGATTATTATAACAATTTAGACATTTTCTACATGACTAAGACCCAAAGTTCCCTGATGCTTTGCCTTTAATAATGTAAAACTTTTGTATTGATTCTTTTGCAGCATTCGACATGGTTAATGACCCAATCATTGCTCTTGAGACCGTGGTGTCATTAGGCTTCCAGCGTGTGCTTACTAGTGGCTGTGATAGCTCTGCTTTGGAGGGACTCCCTCTTATTAAACGGCTCATGGATCAGGTACAGATGTCACTCACTTTACACCTCTCAGTACTTTAAAGAAAGGTTTATCATGGTTTTCTGTATATACCATCTCTCAGTATTAAGTATAGTAATATTTTTCTATTAATTTATTATTTTTTCATTGATTTTACTATTTTTCAGGCAAAAGGCAGGATTAGCATTATGCCAGGTTTGTCATATATTTCAAATAAATCAAGATTTTTGTTCTTGTAGTCATTGCCTCTTGACACATTTCAGGAGGGGGTATCACAGAGAGAAATCTGCAGCGCATTTTGGAAGGTTCAGGGGCTCAGGAGTTTCACTGCTCGGCTCGTTCGAGTAAGGAATCTGTCATGAAGTTTCGGTGAGCTGTTTTATTTGAAGAACCTGATATCAAATGGGCAATACAACAACTGTTTTCTTTTGTCCTCTTATGCAGGAATACCAGCGTGGCAATGGGAGCATCGTTTTCAGCACCAGAATATGGCCTAAAGGTGGCAGATGTGAGCAAAATCCGTGCACTTAATGCAATAGCCAAAAATACTCTGTGAATGCATGTCTTCCTGATCAGACATTTTTCTTTTTTTTTGACTGACTTCATGACTCAGGGACAGTATTTTATGATGTAATAACTTATGTTTTCATATGTTTATGAATTTTCTAGAAATAAACTAAATTAAAAAAATGTATGTCCACACCTGTCGCTAAGTCATTTATCACCATAAGTAGTTGTAATGATCTACTCATTGATGCCTCATTAGTCTAAAGTTCTTTTCTAATGCAGACTGTCCTGTCATGGTTTCAGACGATTTATCGAGACCTTTATTTTAATTTCACTCCTTTTGTATCATATGTGTTAAGTATATGCAATTTTTATTTTTTCATTACATGAGAATTATGATAGAAATAAGTTTATTTACATTTTATTTCAACATTGCTGACCATTTATCGCATGACAGTTATGTATCTGCTGTAGTCACATGTCACAGCTGTTAACTTTCATGAGTCAACCGAATTACAGCCCAGTAGTAATCAAAGCAACAATGATTAACAGTTAAAGATAGTACCTCCAAGTGGAACAAAGGCACATCCATGTTTGAATGCAATTATACATGTTATCTACTGTATATTTGTACATATGCAAGTTTATTTTGGTTACCCTCTATAGGTAGGTCAATTAACTTGGATTAACTTGGAGTGGATTTTATCAATTAAATGATCGGGTAATGTTTTAGTGGAAGGACAATTGACTTTTCAAAACAAGATGAAAGTTGGGATTTGTCAGTTATCAGCATATTACTTTACAGTAGGAATAAAAGGAGTGCTCAAAACAAGATGTGATGAAAACAAATCATGGGGGAAAAAAGTAGTATGTAGTATTTAGATGATAACTCAAATCATTCAAGTCATGTTTAAAATGACCATGAAGAGAATCGTCCATCAATTTTTCCAAATGGCACTTATCTGTTTGTACCTGTTGTATGTAAAGAATTATCCTCTATATTATTTAGTTCGAGGATTTACGGGTCTTTTTTATGAGGCTGCATCTGCTTAAATGTAACTGGAGACAATGTTGTCTCTTGTAGAATGGCTTCTGGCCAGTTGACGTACTCAATCAGTTGACACACGTGGTCTCTCAAGTCAAGGAATTTATACCATCTGTGTGTTTGGAAACCACCCTTACCACTTTGTATGATTTCTTTTTTTAAATCTTAGACCTCCTTGCTTAAACCCAGTTCCCCTCATAATCTGGAAAAAACTAACACTTTCAATATTGGAGAATGGTTTGCACGCATAGGGAAACCATTAAATGAGCCCCTCCTGTCCATTTCCTAAACACATTCCCTTTTTTGGAGGGAGCCATGCACCAAACTTACACAAGCCTTCAGTCCGAGTGGGCGGTCTGGGTCCTCCTGTGTGTTTTTTTCTCTTTTGCACAGTCATCTGCCTGACAGTTTGGACTTTAAACACACGTGCATAAAGCATTTGTGAGATTCATGTACAGGAGCAATTGGATTCAGAGTACAGCAAAGCAGCGCAGAGGCATGTAGCAGCCTGCAGACTCAACAAAACACAGAGGTTAGACAACAGTTCATTGATTGTCACTGATATATTAGGACCTTGTTAAGAAATAAGAGCATAAGATTAGTTTGCTATAATAGAACGTTTCTGGAATGTTGTAACTCTGTGTCTTTTCACTTGAAAGAGATTATTAGAAGCTGCCTTGTGTTTTGAATCACATCCTGTGATTGTCTGCAGTGTGGGAGGACAGAGGCGAGCATAAATAGCTTGACTCAAAAGATTTTTTGTTTGAAAAGTGAAGCCGACACTGGGGAGCATGTCGGCCGCTGTGCTTGAAGAGTACTGTGGGTCCACCTTTTGGGTAAGTAGCCTGAACATTATGTAGAGCTTCAAAAACACAACATGAAATATTATTGGATTTTTTTGAAAGTTAAGATAAAATGTTTGTGCTATTTGGGATGCTTTAAAATTAGCTTTAGGCTTTGAATTTGTATAATGTTCCCATGGTCACAGGGAAACAGGGAGAGACTTTACTAGACAGTAATGACTTGACATTTTTCCAGATTCAGAGACATGAACAGTATGATATTCTTTGAATCAGTATGTTACTTTTACTGACTTGAGCTTGATGACTTAAGTTTCCTTAATTGAACACATCAAATAAGTGAGTACATCTTCTAAGTAATAAATAAAATGTATTTGAAAATGTGTGGATACCCAATTCCTATTTTAATTCCTAAGACAACTTTCGCTTGGCTTCATCAACTGAACGGTTTTGCACAAACCGGACCAGCACATTAAAAAAGGGATTTGTAAACATTCATGCTTTGAATGCAGAGACTAAACAGATGGCACACTTGTTGTTCTGATGTCCACAGTGACAGTTGCATGCATTATTCCATAATGAATTGTCTTGTAGAATGCCTCATATCTGGAGGGAGAAGACCCAGACCTCCCTGTCTGTATCGAGCAGACGGTGCTTGTTTGGATCCCTCTTGCCTTCTTGTGGCTTAGTGTACCATCACACATGACTGGCCTGTGCAAAAGCACTAAATTCAACACGGCATATGTATCCAAACTCTACATCTGCAAACAGGTGATATTAAAACACAACAACAACACTGAAATAGAACTTGCCTTTATGAATATAGCTTTGAGTGTTCCCAGATCCACTTTACACAACATACATATTCATGTCCTATCAACCTAATTAGCCCTTGTTTGCCTCCTCTCAGGTTGTGGCTGCTCTCCTGTTCCTGGCCGCGGTAGCAGCACTCGCAGTCACTCTTGGGGAAGATTTTGGTCAAGACAAAAATCCCAAGAACCCAGATGTGTACTATGCCAACCCTGTTCTGTATGCAGTGTCATGGGTAAATATCTTAAGGGGTTTGTGTGACAGGTTTGGGGAAAGACCTAGAGTCTCCAAAACTGATTCGACTTTTATTATATTGATTGCACCAAATACGGTAAAACTTTTTTTAATGATCAAAATGTTACATCATTATGAACTATTGTTATCAAATGTAGTGTTATGCCTCTGTAAAGGTATTTTCATGGACTGAAAAATGATGTATACCATTCACTGTCATTAGATTGTCATCATGCTGTGCCAAGAGTCAGTGAGAAGAACAGGAGCCACAGATTCCACCACACTCTTCCTTTTCTGGTTCCTCCAAATCATCTGCCATGTCTTTCCATTCCAAACTCTACTGAGGGCAGCCCTCAAACAGGTTTTCAGTGTTTAAATGGCCTCAATGGCACTTTCATTTCAAAACCCAGATTTAAAGACATGTTCATAAAGACTGATCTGGTTTTCTTCAGGGGGAGGTCCTCGATGTTCCCCGGTTCAGTCTTTTTTACATAACGTTTGTATTGGAAATATTTGCCCTTGTTCTCTCTGCTTTTGCTGATATTTCTCCTGAAGCCATGGAGCGAGTACAAATGGTAAATATTTACACATTCTTCCTCATTTAGTAATAACATTAACTATAACTAAATGTTATGGTTTAGTTATAACCCATTTAGTTATAATGTGTTAAAATTATGTTTTCAGAATCCTGAAGAGGGTGCTGCTTTTTTGAGTAGAATTACATTCAACTGGTTCAACAGGTAAACGGAAAAATATTACAGGAAGGCTTACTTTCCTAATCAATGTCAGACCATTTAAGCCGGTTATCCATTTTAGTGGCTCATGAACCTATTTTGCAATTATTATTATTAACTTGCAGCATGACTGTAAGAGGTTACTGTTATCTTTTTTCCTTATTCAAGAAAATCACCATATCAATTATCTGTTGTATATGTTCATATTTGGCAAGGGTTAGGGTAGGTCAATTCAAATATATTGTCCAAAAAAACATAAATCATCTTAACTCACAATAAAAGTACATTCTTGCACACAGCGGCAGCACTCACCCACAGTCACACACTCCAATGAATGTGCACAGAGGACCATTGCTCCAGCCCCTGTATGAGGGAGGCCTACACTCAGCGAAGCCCCTCAAAGTACAATTATGGGTCTAGTAGTGTTTAGTTTAATTACAAACAGGAGTTGATGACCGGGAAAGTGTCACTTGTCTAAATAATTTAAACTAGAGGGTCAAACAGGCAAACATGGAACCACATAACAGGCCCCTGACCTGATGATTTTCAATTCTTACTGTTACATAAAACACTGATATGTATGATGTATGTATGTATGATGTATAGCACTACATACAGCACTGAGCAGAACAGGTTAATATTTTCTCAAGATAACCACCACATCATAAATTTTTCTTCCAAAACTCAAAAAATTAGTTGTAATTTAGTTAGATTTATACATTACTGCAATACCTGCCTTTATCTCCCCAGTATTGTAAAAAAATAAAATAAAAATCTACTAGAAAATAATACGTCATAATTAACATAATATAAATATAAACAACATATTTGGACAAACTTAATATAATAAAAATAATAATAATGCATCGGTTTTGTACAGTGCCTTTTTGGACACTTATGCTTCACATTTTATCACTCATTCACTTCATTTACAACTGTAGCCACAGTTGTCATGTGCAGATGGACAGACAAGAGCAACCACCACCAATCATGCACGCACACACAAATGTTATGAAGATGTGGGAGAGAAACAGAAGTGTCTGCTGTGTCATTTTAAATCAGTGTTGCAATTTACAATGAGAAAGCAAAAAATTCAACGTTTTAAATTTGATGCATCTTTGATTGGAAGATACAGTAGTTATTAATGTTTCATTTGCTTCCTTTTAGTATGGTTATTACAGGTTACAAACGTCCTTTGGTCCAAGAAGATATGTGGGATTTAAATGAGGCAGACAGCACGTCGTACATCCACAAGGAGTTCCAGTCTATAATGACTCTGGAATTGGCTGCAGCTCAGATCGTTCACAACCAGAAAAGACAGAAGAAAAAAGCGGAGGGAAGGGACAGAGATAAGACCTTTCCAAATGGCCTGTCCAATGGACTGGGCAAAAGTGTCAGTCAGGACATTCTAATGGTGAGTTGTACTAGATTCATGTAAACACAATTATCACACTTGTCTAGCTCACTGCTTACTGAAGAGAAGAGGTGTAGCTACAGAACAAGAGACAGAAGGACCATTCACAAAACTACTTCAAGGGCGACATGGTGGCTGAGTGGATGGCACTCTCTCTCCTCAGTGAGAAGGCTTGAATCTCGGACGTATAGGGCCTTTCTGAGTGAAGTTTGCATGTTCTCTCTGTGTCTGCATAAGTTTTCTCTTGTGTTCCCTACCACTAAAACAGCACTATCTAAACTTTGTAAAGCCCTTTGGGACACCTTGGTCTGTAGAAATGAGCTATATAAATGAAGGTTACTTACTTACAGAAAATGCTCAGCTTTTGTAGGTCTTACTCGTCATGTCTGAAGCTTCTCTTGTTTCATTTACTAAAAGTTTACGGTATTTGTATTGCTTTAGGAAGAAAAAACGAAGCCTAAAAAAGCAGAAATGGAAGAAGTACAATCTAAGAAGGACGAAGAAGATTATCCAAACTCCTGGTTAATTCCCACTATTTACAAAACATTTAAGTGGGTTTTGATTGAGTCCGCTTTTTTCAAACTACTGCAGGACCTGCTGGCTTTTGTCAGTCCTCAAATTCTAAAGTCAGTATACATATTTGCTATATCCAATATGTTTTGTAATCTATATTTTATGATGAAGGCATTGATTTGTTTATTCTTATGCCACCAAGAGTTACACAAGCTAAATGATTCATTTGTAAGAGGCACTCCTGTGCTATTCCTGGGACATTATTGGTATCATGGCTTTCTTGATTAGAGATGTAATACTCCCAAAACAAAAAAGCAAGATTTTATGGACAATGGACAATAATCAGAGATGTCCTAAAGGTTCATGTTCCTGGGTCCTGGATATATATGATTCATCCAGGAAAGCTGCAGTGCTATTACCTTTTGATCTAATCCTTGTTTTGTATTTTGTCTTTTATAGAATGATGATTGACTTTACCCAAGACAAAACATCTCCCCTTTGGACAGGCTATGTGTATGCAGTCATTCTGCTCGTCGTGGCCGTGTTGCAGTCACTGTTCTTACAGCAGTACTTCCAGCGTTGCTTTGTGCTGGGCATGAAAGTTCGCACTGCAATCATGACAGCAGTTTATAAAAAGGTTCAAATCAACCTTCTGATATTTGTCTAGAATACCATCTTTTGACATTGGGAATGTAGTAGTGTGTTCCATAGTAAGCTGAAAAAAATATATCTTGCTTGCATTCTCTCCCTTGGAATGCAGTTTGGTATACACAAACTTGGCTGAGGGGGCATTTTTATTTAAAATCTTCCCTGAGTTTTACGGTTTTATTTTTGGCTGACAACAAATGTCATTTGTCATTTCCTCATTGTTTTATATGTTGCATGTTTACCACAGGCCTTGGTGGTATCAAATGACGTGCGTAAAGAGTCCACTGTGGGGGAGACGGTGAACCTGATGTCTGCTGATGCTCAACGCTTCAATGATGTCACCAACTTCATCCACCTGCTCTGGTCATGTCCTCTGCAGATTGCCCTCGCCATCCTCTTCCTCTGGTTTGAGCTGGGACCCTCTGTATTTGCAGGACTGGCAGTCATGGTCCTAATGGTACCATTAAATGGCCTGTTGGCCAACAAGGCCAGAAAAATTCAGGTCATTATGATATTTTATTATTAAACTGTAGTCTTACGCTGTGAGACAGCCTTTTCTGCCCTTTTTAAGAGCATCAGCTGTTTCACAACTGTTGCAGATGTGCATCTAATGTTACATTGAATCTTAAATTAAATTGTTAATGTTGTCAGAAAGGCTTGGCTTCAAAGACTACTGTCAAAGCATAAGGTGTATTTTTTTCAGATTGACAACATGAAATACAAAGACAAAAGACTGAAAATCATGAATGAAATACTCAATGGAATAAAGGTGATTTTTTTTAAACTACTACTACTAAACCAAACTACTTGAAATAGCTTAGCTATTTCTCATATACAACATTTTCGCAATATACATAATTCTACGTTATACAAAAAAACATATGTATCTTTAGTTGAACAAGCTTTTTTCTCACTTGAATAACAGATATTGAAGCTGTTTGCATGGGAGCCATCCTTTCAGACTCAGGTAGAAGAACTCAGAGAAAAAGAATTGAAGGTTTTGAAGAAATTTGCCTATCTCACGTCTGTGACTACATTCATCATGAGCTGTGCACCTGCTTTGGTAAGTCATATCAGAGAAGAACAACAGAATCCACTCTGCCTCCTTTTCTGCAATTCATCTTTGTGCTGCAGGTGTCTTTAGCCACATTTGCAACATTTGTTGGAGTGAGCCCAGACAACGTGCTGACAGCGGGTAAAGCCTTTACATCAATCTCACTGTTTAATATCCTTCGGTTTCCTTTGGCAATGCTTCCCATGCTCATCGCAGCCATGGTGCAAGTAAGTCGACTACAAACCACATTTAAGTATATTGACCATCCAATATGACTCAACATGCACTTTTTTTTAGACGGTTGTATCAAAAAAGCGTCTCGAGAAGTTTCTCGGAGGGGAAGATCTGGACCTTAACACTGTTCAGCATGATTCCTCGTTCAGTAAGTTAATTTCCACATGTATAGACTTTTTTCTTCTGATTATTTTTCTCACCTCTTGCAATATTTTTTTCTCACTGGCCAAAATAAAATTTCTGACTGAAATCAAAATCTCTCAATATTAAGCTGATATTGTGGCAATTCAACTAATTCTGGTAAAGAAATAACTGACCTAAAACAGGAGAGGAAAAAAAATCTATCTTTTGCATATGGACAGAAAGATGCATTTTGACCCTTTGTGTTGTCCGTTTCTCTCATAGACACAGCAATCACCATTTCTGATGGTTCTTTCGCCTGGGAACAAGAGGCTGATCCACTACTGAGAAAGTATGTAGCATATACCATGAAAAAAATTGAAGCAACCTTCTTTGTATGTGTATGCTGAAGAAGACACATTTTACAAACAAATTGCTGCATATGAATTGGTTTTTACAAATGGAAAAAACTTTATCTGATTTATAGTGTATCCATTGACATAAAGCCGGGCAAATTGGTGGCTGTGGTGGGAGCAGTTGGCTCAGGAAAGTCCTCACTCATTTCAGCACTACTTGGTGAAATGCACAAGAAAAAGGGTTTTATCAACATCAAGGTAATGACGGACATAAATCAACCCTGTTGTAAATCAGGTGTAACCTGCAAGGGTTACAGTCCCATTGTACAAAGTAGATAATGTTATTGACAAATCTTCAGTGATGGTTTGTACAATGAAAGGTTAAGTAAACATGGCTCACTTGGTTTATTTCTGTCCAGGGTTCACTAGCCTATGTTCCGCAACAAGCATGGATCCAAAACGCAACTCTGAGAGATAACATAGTCTTTGGGTCCGATTATGACAAAGCTCAGTTTCAGCGGATCGTTGATGCCTGCGCCCTTGGTCCTGATCTTGAACTGCTAGGTGGAGGGGAACTCACTGAGATTGGAGAAAAGGTACATTCAGTAAATACACAGCAAAAGGAAACAACCACTGAATGAAGTAATAAACATACATATAATAAATGTCTGCCACTGCTGCTGTGTAATCACATGCATGTGCAAGTTTATTCCATTTACTATAAGGGTCTCATTAAACCAGCACGGTCTCAAATATCATCAGCAATTTCCCAGCAATTACATGTACAAGTGGAGATAGACAATTCTTGCTATAATGGCATGAACTGACCTCTCTCTTAGTATTTATTATTGACTGCAGTTAAAAAAAAGGTTATAAAACTGGTTGACAAATGTTGATCCACATATTGTCATCATTGAATGATATTAAATGTGTTGCAGGGTATCAACCTTTCAGGTGGACAGAAACAACGTGTTAGTTTGGCCCGTGCCTCGTACAGTAAAGCTGATATCTACTTGTTAGATGATCCCTTGTCTGCTGTTGATGCACATGTTGGAAAACATCTTTTTGACAAAGTCATTGGACCAAATGGCCTTCTCCAAGATAAGGTGTGCTAGTCATGTCATTTCTGGAGCTAGTTCCACTGAATATTGTTTAGTGACATTTATTTCACTTTGTGTGGATTACAGACACGCATCCTTGTGACCCATGCTGTTAGTTTTCTGCCTTTTGTGGATGAAATTGTTGTGCTAAAAGATGGAATAGTTTCAGAAGTTGGATCTTATAACAGTCTTCGTGCAAGCAAGGGAGCTTTTTATGAGTTTTTGGAAACATATGCCAAAGAGTCAAGAAATCAGGAACAATCACCCCGAGGTAACTACCATGTTTGAGCCACAGACTGCCCTGATTGAGTAAACATTTTATTTTCAATTTTGTAGATAGCCATGATATAGAGATAATCCCGGAGGTAGAAGACACCCAAATAGACTCTCCCCTTGAAGATGCTATTTCTGCTACACTCAAGAGAGAAAACAGCATCAGGAGAAGTCAACGTGGTGGAAGGTAGATACCACAGTCTTTTTTTTTTATATGTAATATAATTATAAACAAACATGTGACTATATGCTGCAGGGATTTCACTGCAGCAAACAGTCTAATATCAATAACTAATAATCATTCATATCAATTACAAATTGATATTAGCTATTTAGGATGTTCTTGCTGCTTGTAAAAGCCAATATATTTTGAGTGGTCCTCACTGGGGCTTTCATTATAAATGTTATAAGGGCATTGACCTTAAATATGTGCATATTTCTGTATTTTGATATCTGTTGAATCTATTTTTAATTATTTTTTTACATTTAATTGATTTTTTTGCTACTAAAGTAATTCCTGTTTATTCTGTCATTAGCGTGAGGCTTAGGACAACAAGTTCTTTAAAAACAACAAAAGATGAACCCAACCAGGGACAGAGATTGATTGAAAAAGAAGCTATGGAATCCGGACAGGTATTCACATTTTGGTATCCTTTAGTACTTGTATTAGTAAAAATGTTTGGAACATGGAATACACATGTATGTATTTGTGCACTTGTTTAGAAAGTGATATAATTATGTTAACTCTTTTTCCAGGTCAAATTGTCAATATTTCTCCAATACATGCGCGCTATGGGCTGGGGCTACACTTTCATAGTGATTGTGATATACTTTGTTCAAAACGTTGCATTCGTCGGGCAGAATATCTGGCTAAGTGACTGGACTAATGATGCTATTGACTATGCCAACAAAACGTACCCAGCCTGGAAACGTGACACAAGGATTGCGGTGTTTGGCGTACTGGGGGTGGCTCAAGGTAACTACCAATATACTACTCTTTCATTTTCACTATTTCATGATTACACACACTAGATTATTAGATGTCCTTGTTTAGCTTGGAGGTAAATGGACAAATCGTACATTTATATTTTCTGACTTGATCTGAACACAAAATATTAGAATATGCTAACATTGTAACTGTTATGAAGAATTATCCACAACCTGCTTGAATACTTTAGAGCTTTATAAATAACTTTACCAGGATTGCTCAAAATGTACTTAAGTATCAGAACTGGAGAGACATATTCAAAGTACTTGCTATACGATTAGGCGCACTTTTATAGACTGCACCAGTAAGATTCGAAAGGAAAGTAAATACGAGTGATCTGGCCTTCCGTAGGTCACAACGTTGATTTCCACACACGTATAGGCCACACATAAGTTGGAGGTTTTTTAACACAGAAAGCTGGTTTTGGACCCTACACCTGTAACCTTTAATTATTGTAAAAAATACACTGCAATTTTCTTTACTTTCCATTAGGCCTGTTTGTGTTTGCGGCTACATTAATCCTGGCCAATGCTTCAGTGTCTGCCTCCCGAATCCTGCACTCAAGGCTGCTCAGTAACATGCTGCGTGTTCCTATGGTGTTCTTTGACACCACCCCCACAGGCAGAGTACTCAACCGCTTTGCAAAGGTATCTTTTGTATACATTTTATTTTAATGGTGACAATAACACTGTGTATAATATCTCCTCAAACTAAAACATTTCTCAAGATAATGTTTTGCCTTGACTCTGTCGACAATCTGAAAACCGTTAATAGTTGAATTTATCAAACATGTTTCCATAGGATATTTTCACAATCGATGAAGCAATCCCACAATCAGTTCGCTCTTGGATCTTGTGTTTTCTTGGAGTCTTGGCTACAATCTTTGTAATCTGCTTGGCCACGCCTTTCTTCACTGTTGTCATTATCCCACTGGCTGTTATCTACTACTTTGTACAGGTGAGTATTGTAAAGCAGAAGACAATATTGATTCTATAGTATTGTGTGATTCACCTTTTGCTCTGCTCTTCCATGAAGCGATTCTATGTTGCCACTTCAAGACAACTACGTCGCCTTGACTCGGTGTCACGATCTCCAATATACTCTCATTTTGGAGAGACAGTGTCTGGTCTTTCTGTCATTAGAGCCTACGGTCACCAAGATAGGTTTCTCAAGCACAATGAGACAACTATGGATGAAAATCTGAAGAGTGTCTATCCTTGGATTGTTTCCAACAGGTGACGTAATAATATTGTATTAGATGTTTTGGGCTGGCCTATATTTTACTCAAAACCCCGTAATCCTTTTAAATTAGGGCTGTCAAACGATTACATTTTTTTAGTTGATTAATCGCACAGTAATGGTGAGTTAACTCACGATTAATCGCATTTTTAACATTCTATTTCAAATTCACTCCAATTGAAGTTAAATGAGATTATCAAATGTAATGACACATTGTCATTCATACCAAATGTACGTAAATCTGTTTGATTTGCTCACAACCTTTTACATTTGGGCTAGGCTACACAAAGCTTGTGTGAATCCCATGGTGCAGTGGGAAGACTGATGCAGGGTCTGAGGAGCGGACAGCAGAAGTTTTCTCCATTTGCAAATGCTTGTTCTTTTCATGTACTTTTTACTTTCATTAAACCACACAAAAATGCAACTCCATGGATCATTAGTAAAACAATTTAAATATATATTAGCTCAGAATATAAGTATATTGTTTCATATTCTATGTAGAAAAACTTGCTGATCTATATTTTGCACAATATTTCTTCTGACAGATGGGTCGCTATTCGCCTGGAATTTGTGGGAAATCTGGTAGTGTTTTTTGCTGCGCTGTTTGCTGTTATTTCCAGGAACAATCTTGACAGTGGCCTGGTGGGATTATCTATATCCTATGCACTTAATGTTAGTCACTTTTATCACTTTATCTTGTTTTAAATTTAGCAAAGTTTTAACACAGAGCACTCTTGGATTTGTAAACAGGTTACTCAGACTCTTAACTGGTTGGTGAGAATGACCTCAGAACTGGAAACCAATATTGTTGCAGTGGAGCGAGTGAGTGAATATTCGGAGATTGAACATGAGGTAAGTCAAGCTGCCCTAATTTCAAACTCTCTAAAAAGCAAGACAATGGCGATTTCTAGAAGTGGCCGACCACATTTTGGAAAGCTCTGAGACAGAAAAAGTAGTATTCATAGGAGTAAGATATATTGACTATTGTATATGGAAAGTATGTGCCGCAAACACTGAAACTGAAAAAAATGTCCTTGGTAAACAGTGCTACCTTATGTTCTCTCCTGAGCTTGTTCAACGATTTATAAAATGACTCACTCAGTGTAAATGGAATGCACTCTGTCACTCAAATGCAACAACATTTAACTAAAATATTCATAATGTTCTTTTGTTGATGCAGGCAGAATGGATAAATGACACAAGACCACCAGAGACTTGGCCTGAGGAAGGAAAGGTGCAGTTTGAAAACTACAAAGTGCGATATCGACCTGGACTGGATCTGGTGCTGCATGGAGTTTCATGTTCCATAGACTGCCAAGAAAAGGTGTGGGCAAAAACACACATTTTAGTATGCACTGTAAAAGCTAAATAAACTGTCACACAGTATGTATAGTATGGTGGATAGAACATCCTCTAACTCTGTAACCATTTGTGCCACACTCACTATTATGGACTTTAAAAAATCCCTGGTTTAACTCTCTCTGTGATCCTGGGGGTTTCATTTTGATATCGTCTTTGTAGATCCAGATAAGAGCTACAAGGATTGGTCAATATGATGCCTTCATTTGCGGGAGAAATCCTTAGAAACCATGACAGCAACACGTCTGCCCACACACAACTAAATCATATAAGGAAATTGGCTCCAGGTACCATATGTTCCTATTGGCAAACACTATGGATGACGCAGACGAGTGGAAGATATTTTCTTTGTCTTTGTTAAAGTTTTTAGAAAAACAAAGCCTAATTTAAAAAAAGTTAACCCCAATATTTTCACTTTTATTGCATTTGAATACACGCATATCTCAGTATCTGCCTTGAAAAGAAAAACATATTATTTTATAAACATTTGGAGACATGTGACAGACCAAAAATATAATTATCTCTCATTCTTTTCTGGATGCAAGCTTCATATAAGCCTCTATCACAAATCTCCTGAAAAATGTACCCAATGTTCAAATGTTCAAAATGATGATCCGGCATATGTAGGTGAGAGATATGATGATGCTAACCCTTCTTTTCTCTTATTCAGATTGGCATTGTGGGACGAACAGGAGCTGGGAAATCGAGCCTGACTAACTGCTTATTCCGAATAATTGAAGCTGCCGAGGGTCGGATAATCATTGATGGTGTAGATATCTGTACGATTGGTCTCCATGATTTGAGAGGCAGACTCACAATTATTCCTCAGGTACTCTCTGAATGCAAACACTACCTTTGCCTTTCTTCTGGAGTGACCTGTCTTGTCTCTGCACAGGATCCGGTGCTTTTCTCGGGCACACTGAGGATGAATCTGGACCCCTTCAATAAATTCAGCGATGAGGAGATATGGAGAGTACTGGAGCTGTCCCACCTCAAAGTCTTTGTCTCTGGACTGCAGGAGGGGCTGCACTATGAGGTCTCTGAAGGGGGAGAAAATCTCAGGTCTGACATTTTTCCAATGTGATGCAGGATTTTGTGATGGTGATGATTTTGAAATGCCTTGATTTTGGACAATAATCTGTATTTAAACATAAATAATAGAATGATAGTTATTTTTCTGATACCACAAAGTAGTTCCAAAGAGAAATCAAAATTATTAAAAAAACATTTTGTATTTATACTTTCTTAAATGAGCACTTCATTTGATCCCAGTTTTAGTGTAGATTAATAACTATTTAAAAAAGGGCTGTCATTATTGCGTTAACGCATGTTATTTTATTTTTTTCATTAATCGCATTAAAATGCCGAATGACCCATGCATCCCATCTAACACGTGCGTGTAAGATGGCGACAGATGAAATGGTACCAAAGCAACGCACTGCTAACAAAATATACAGTACAATATATAAAAGATTACCTCCAGTTTCGCGTCCAAAGTTAGTCCGAGGCGTCTCGCTCCCGCACGTCTCTCCAGATGATACGATGTAAACTAGTTATGTTCATCAGGGCTTGATTTCTTCTTTGATCACTTTTTCGCTTTAGTCCCCTCTTCTCCTTCTCACTTTTGTGTCTTTTGGGCTGTTTTGCTGTGTCTGCAGCTATAGTCAGAGCAGGTATAGCCACTTTCTGTCGCCATGCTATTCTGTTTAGCTGCTCTGCAGACGCTAGAGGAGGCGTGGCCTAGGGGAACGAGCGTCACGCAAAGTTTCTATTCAGCATTTTTTATGGCCTGAATTCAGACATAAGCTGTATTAATGAGCTAATTTTTTCAATTAAATTACAGGTCTTGATACAACTTTTGATACAACTTAGAAAAAATACTGTCTACTACAGAAAGACAGAATGTAAATAATTTTAATGCAGTTTTATGTAGATTTATTGTTATAATAAAGAAATACAACTATGTTGTCATTTATCTTTCCATTCAAACAACCATTTACAGAAAACATAACATATGACATAATTTTGCCGATAGTTCGAAATGTGATTAATTACGATTCATTAATTTTCAAGCTGTAATTAACTCGTTTGACAGCCTAACAAAACAGAAAGACAAGCCTGGAGTGACCCTTTTCACCACCGATGTTGAGGACATTGTTGTCTTCTTAAATTTCAGTTCGATCTATCTTCAGGGTATTCCTTTTTGAGATATATTATTGAGCTTCCACTGAAATGATTTTTAGGACTGTCGGTTTCTGCTTTTATATCCCCATGTTACTCCGAACGGTCAAAAAGATTCAATATAATGTCCATGACTATGCAAGGAACAGGACTATATCAATGACCCAATTTTTGTATATTTTACAAATATAAACTTTCCAAAGTCAATGTTGAAGTTACTATTGTGGTAGTAAAGACTTTTCTGTGTGTCTCAGTGTGGGCCAGAGGCAGCTGCTGTGTCTGGCTCGTGCGCTGCTCAGAAAGTCTCGCATTTTAATCTTGGATGAAGCCACTGCGGCTGTGGATCTGGAGACAGATGACCTCATCCAGAACACCATCCGTAAAGAGTTCTCCCACTGCACCATCCTCACCATCGCACATCGCCTGAACACCATCATGGACAGCTCCAGGTAAGGCCAGTTTAGTCCAATCACTGCGTTTCTATATTCTTTCATGACACAAACAAGGAAAGTGTCTCCAATCCCTCTTCCTCTACTTTTATGATAAATACCAGATATATGTATAGACATAGTCTCAATATAGTTGATCATTAATAGTTATATTCAATTGAGTTGACTTTCCGTGTATTTATTTTCCATGTCACACACTATTATTATTATTATTATTATTCCACAGATTTGTTACATTCTTCTAAAAATTAACAAATCTGTTGATAATTTGTGCTATCAGATACTAATTTACTACTACAGAATTAATTTACTTTTTGAAGGATTAATTAGTAATCTGATTACTGTTTTAAAGTAACTGTGGCAACTGGTTTTGCCTCTTAGAGTCAAACATTTTAGGTGGAAATACATGCCTTGTGCTTCTGCTACTATCCCCAGATTACACTGAAGGTGATCTAATCCAATTCATGAAAAAAATATAAATATTTTGTAAAATAATAATAATCTTTATTCCGGACTCAAGGTCCATACAAAAAACAACACAAGGACACCTACAGACACAGAAAAACACAAAAAATAAAATAACAAAGTCTAACGACTCATTTACGAAGACACTTGTACAGTTGTACAGTTCCCAGAACTGACAAATATAGCGTGTAGTACTGAACTTAACATTCATCGATGTAAAATAGATACTTAATCATGATAACAATGTCAGGGGAGCACATTTACGACTTTTACTCTTGAATCTAGAACACTTCCTACACAGCGACCTGTTATTGATTTTATGAGTCCTCTATCTCTTTGTTTCAGGGCTCCATCTACTGAAAAAAATCAAGTACCATTTTTTCCATGCGTCAGAAAGAGTAACTTCAATGCACAATGTGTCATTTAGTACATCTTTCCAAACGCTGTCTTTATATCAAATCTGCATTGCTGCTGTTTGAAGTAGGTTGAGTGGATGGACGCAAATTTTACTTTGACAAGCATGGCCTTCAGCAATAGAGGTCACTGATTACTTATTCATAATTCATTGGGTTAAGTGTTCTAATCATGCTACAATTGTGTTTTAAGTTATTTATAATACATTGTTCTTGGTTTTAATGTGGATACTGTTTTTCTGAGACAATACTAACATGATGCAGCATGATGTGGCTCTAGTTGAAGTGGCCACAGCTGTGTGCTGCAGTGGGGCGCTACAGGTCGAGACATGAAAAGTAAATTTTTTCCATATGCCTGAAACCGGGGTAAGAGGCTCTATTATGCCCAAGTATATTCAGTTCTTCTTGCATTTCTTTTCATTTGATTTAGTGGAAACCTGTAAGGAGGCTTTCAAAACAGATGCTCAAGCCACCTCAACAGAGTCCTCTGAACGTGGAGAAGCAGCAGCTCTAAAAATAATGATAATAATAATGATGATAATGCATCGGTTTGATATAGCTCCTGTGGACTCACCACCTGCAGGAGGATCAGTGAGGGGCTGGGGCAGCTCTGACTGCCATCAAATGGATGGATGGGTTTTATGTAGCGCTTTTCTGGACACTCAAAGACACTTCAAATGTCATTGACAAAAGTGAGGAACCAGTATTTGCCATCATCACTGTGGCACCTGACAGTTTCCCATCACAGTAGGATCCTGCCAGGTACAGCTTCAGATGTCTGATGGAATCTGGCTTTCGCATGCAAATTTGATCACACTCTAAGAGCAAACAGTAGAGACTCTCCGTAGAGCAAACTAAATTCTACCACTTGTAACTGCAATCTTGTCCTTTCAGTCTTTACCCAAAGTTGAATAGTTTCCTGTATGAAATTCCAGCATGTAGTTATTGAAATATTGAAAAGAATTGTTTTGCCTTTTATCCAAATGTAGCCCTTATGCAATCTGAAAGTGCAAGGTCCATTAGACCTGGGCTGAATACAAATGCTCAGGCTATCCAATGTGAGCGTATAGTTCACAGTGGTAGGTTTGTCGACCACAAGGGAAAACACAAGAGAGGCATGACAAACTGAGTGAAGTGGCCCAGTGCTCAGGCTGGGGCATTCATATATAATATCTCCATAATCTAGCAATGCAAGGAATGTTGCAAAAACAATTTTAAAATAAAAGGACCATTTTTTCGGAAGTAAAAACCCAGTTTGAGGCGTTATTGGTTTTCATCATCAATCTGGATACTCAGATAATCACAATTATTTACAACTTCATTAAGGGAACCCTCAGGTACAACAAATAAAGGAACATTCCCCAGATGTTATCTTCTAGAGAAAATAATCAATTTTGGTTTTGGAAGCACTATGAGAAAGATTTATTACACATAAACTGGCAAACAACAATGAGATTAATCGCCTGTCCCAATTCCCACCCTTGCCCTTAAAAAGCACCCTTGTCCTAGATTTTGCGCATGCCCACAGGGTAGGGTGTATACACATATTTTTACAAACGAACCAGGCCAAGTGGCCCGGATCGTCGCCACAGGGGTGTGAAAACGGCCCGCGGTCACATGAACGTGTAGTCTGAACCGTGCCAGAGTAGTACAACGCCTGGTCCAGCTGGTGGCGCTAATAATAACTCCAGTGACTACCACGTTGTCCGAGTTGAGTTTCCGCTTTTTTTTTCCTGTTTACATTCTGCTACTGAAGCTTGCAGGCTCGAGCATGCACCGCGTTGTTTGCATCAGAGCAGTGTGAACAAGTGTGAGATATGTCTTTCCCCAAAATGCAGCGGTGGGACACGCGTGTGTTGTCTGTGTGTACGGGCGCGCTGCGGACACGGGCGCGCTGCGGACACGGGCGCGCTGCGGACACGGGAGCGCGCCTTTATAGTAACGAGCGTAAAGCGCTGAGAATGAATGAATGAAAAACAGAAAAATGGCTACGAGCAACCGGAGCATGCGTTTGTGTGTGTGTTCTGGCCATTGAATAAAGACTGATTCTTGAATGTCTGAAGTAAGTAAGTAAGTAAGTTTTTATTTATATACCGCCTTTTCACTGCAGATCTGAGTCTCAAAGCGGTTTACAATTGTTAATGTTGGGCATTTGTCTCACTCCACACAGAGATGGGAGCGGGGTCGCCAGTACAGGAGGCGCATGCCAGACCTATTGGACATATTTTTAGTGGTAGGGGAAACCGGAGTACCCGGAGGAAACCTACGCAGACACAGGGAGAACATGCAAACTCCACTCAGAAAGGCCCTGGTCCGGCCGGGATTCGAACCCAGGACCTTCTTGCTGAGAGGCGAGAGTGCTATCCACTCAGCCACCGTGCCGCCCGTGTTGTTGCATTAGCACCACACTGAGAGCGAGGGTCAGGACAGAAGAGAGCTATACCCGTAGGATATACCACGGTCCGGGCCTTATATGAAAGGTTAAACACAGCGGAGACACAGTGGCATTTTCACACAGAGAGACTGTGTGAAAATGCGTGTCACAGGAAGACGTAATGTGACGCACAATATCAAGTCCCTACCACACCTCACCCCCCACATCCCACCACCCGCGACACTGACCCCCCTCATTTGCGCTGGGAAGCGGGCCCTGGCCGCAGTTTTGATTCAGCACAACCCTGGAATCGTGCTGAGGCACACAGGCTGTGGTCACATTGCACCTAAAGCCCGGATCTGATCGCGAAGCGGTCCCTGGCACACTTTAACCGGGCTTAAGGCTGCGCATGTGAGGGAGTAGAGGCAAGGGCCCTCACACCCTTAAAAACCACCCTCGCGCTCAAGTGAGGTCTGGAGCTCACTTGTGAGCGAGGGTGATCCCATGATGCATTACGATAGCTGTTGGTAAAGCAGCTGTCAGGCAAAGCCGCGCCACAATGAAAAAAAACAAAACATGAAACACCCGGGCGCAAGTTTGTGCTGAACGGGAGGAAGCTCCGGTGTGTGCAAGTCATTCAGAGTTTTTAATGCGTGTGTTGTTGGTGCCATGTGTGGTGACGTTCGCTCCCAAAGCGGCCGCAGAGTGTACCGTGAGGCTTCAGAGACGTGCATGTTATTATTATAGATCCCTGATGTCGTTCAGAGCATCGCTTTGACACAGTTTATTTGGTGATCTGTGGGACCGCGGCTGTACCCGTCTGTCTCTCTGTGGTACGTCTCTGTGCGCGTACGTGTATGTACATGTGTCTCTCTCTGTGTGTTTGTACATGCATCTGTCTGTGTACGTGTGTCTGCCTCTGTGTGTACATGTGTGTCTGTGTGCGTGTGTGTGTGCGTCTGTCTCTATGAGTGCATGATGTGCAGCAGTTCTGTACCTAATTATAGAAAATCTCATATGAAATAGAATTAAAAACATCTAATTTTAATAAATACTGTGTTTCATAAAGTCATCTGTGTTAGATCTTATCTGTGGTCAAATCAGACACATTGATAATGCGTGTGACGTGGAACACGTTTGCTGCGTCATTTGCATATTGTCCCTAGGGTGTCCCAATTCTTAGGGAGAATATCCTGCAAACTTTACTCAATAGGTCTCAGTAGAAATGCTCTTATATGGTTCAATGCTTATCTTCACAATAGACGACAGTTTGTAGTTTTTAATGGTTTTCAAACTGGTCTCTCTAGAATGGAAACAGGAGTACCACAGGGCTCAACCCTTGGACCTCTTTTATTTTGTATCTTCATCGATGACCTACCCCAAGTGTGTAGTCATTGCCAGACTCATCTATATGCTGATGTCGTCTGTTAGGTGCAAACTTACCCCAACTGCAAATGTATCTACAAGAGGACTTTCATTCAATTCAAAAGTGGCTCAACAAATATGCTAAAACTAAACATGAAAAAATCTCTTTGAATAAGAGGAAATTACTGAAGAAAATAGAAAAAGATATGTATGAATAAGAAAATAATTAAAAAATATATGTAAAAAACAAAAGGCAAGAAACAAAACAAAACACATTATAAAATATATAATATAAAAATAATTGTTTATAAAAAATAAAATAAAACACAAGGGGTTAGCGGTACTGAGCCTTCACGCTGCAGCCCTGTTTTGACTACTTTTACAGTACCACACAGTTCTAATGAATTTATTCTTATTGGAATCAAAATAATGGTTATGACCCACAGAAACCACCAACACTATAGGAAAAACGATATGATAAAAGATAAATATGGGATTACTTACTGTAGGGGAATTGTACTTCTTTTATAACCAATTGCTTTAATATATAATTGTTCTTGTAATCACTTATTTTTCATGCAAATATACTAATTAGAATATTATATGACCAAAACAGATATCAGACACCAATATTCCTGGTCTAGGAGAAATACAAAGGAGTAAAGGTCATTTTAAGGACCCGATGGCCGCCATTTTGAAAATGGGGCCTTTTTTGGAGTCAAACTTTGGTAAAATTTTAATATAATACATCTGATACTACTGTAAACCACTGAGAAACCTTTTGTTAGAATTTTTTGGGGTCAAGCCATAAATGCAGCTGACTAACAAGTCATCTGTTCTTTTTCTCTTTCAGAGTAATGGTGCTGGATGCGGGAAGAATTGTGGAATTTGATTCTCCAAGTAATCTACTCGACAAACACGGCCACTTTTACTCCATGGCAAAAGACGCAGGGATTTCACCAACAGAAGTCACTGCTTTTTAAAGAGACATGTGTTTTTAAATTCATTTTAAACACGTTTGTATTTATAGCAACATTGAAATAATGTTTTGGTTCAGGGTAATAAATACTCAAAAATTTTACCCAAATGTACCAACTCATTTCTTATTCGTGAGCCTATTTTCCACTTTATTTCACAGAATTTGACCATGAAATCTACTATTTACTTGGGCTGATAAAATCCATGATATGTCACACGTGATCTATTGCGCGACTATTTTCTTTATACATTGATTATGTGTCCAGTGTTTGATATTTGCTTTTTGAGTCAATTTAAGTAACGCATTGAAGGCATTCCTAAGCAATCAAAAACAGGTAGAAAATGTAACAATTAGAGAAGGCAGACTGTCGCCGTCCCTCTGTGGAGGAATAGAATCCTGCCCCCATTACATCCCTAAGCAACAAAGGAAGATGGGCCAATGCCATCTTGTGGTACATACTGTTTCTTCTGTAAGACAACATTTGTATAATGTTTAAAAAAAAAGTCATGATAGTCATACGGTAATGTTTCTGCACTTTATGAAAGGCTGCATCATATCTTTTTATTCACATATTTCTGATATTATATTTCAGACAGGCAAACCACCTGTTTTTGCTTTATGCGAGAGAAGAGAGAGGAGGAGAGAGAGAGGAAAGCAGGTTGAGTCAATTGGAGGGGAAAGAGAAGCGCAGAAAGGACCAAAGGACTCTGTAGTGGAAAGCTGTATGGATTATTACGTTCACCTTTTTATGCTCCTTTCAGGTATGTTGCCTTCACAATATTTTCTGCAATTTTGTTGTGCTGTCACAGTGAAAGTAGGAAAACATAAATACAATATATTCATAAGAGTTGAAGCAAATAACTTATTTTTTCAAACATTTCTTTTCATGTTCTCCAGGTTCATTATGAATCTGTCAGCACAAGTCCCATTCTTATTCAGATGTAACGTCAGCCCGAGTGATGCCCCTCAGCTTAACATCATCCTGACCAAGAGCGAGCCGCTCCTTATCGCTGTCCCCATGACACTCTTCTACAGCTTTATCTTCTTCTTTGGGGTAAGCCAGGGTAATTCAATTCAGAATGACTCAATGATGTTCAGGAGGAGAGTGTCTCAAGTGGAATGTTGTACCGTTGCTTTTGAGAACAATATAAAGATCACCTGTAGCATTCACACTCACACCTTGGCAAAAACTAGAAAAAATCTGGAGACAAACCTGTTATGGAGCAAACTACTCTAGTTACACATACACAAAGTATACTAGTATACATATACATATATTACATATACATATATTACATATACATGTATTAAATATACATAGGTATGGTGATACAGGGTAAGTACTCTTGGTTCTCAGCAAGACTGGGTTCAAATCCCAGGTTTGGTAAGTCCACTACCATTGCTCAGGCAGTCCTTACCAAGCTAAGCTTCAACATGTGGAGATGGGTCCCCAGGTGCTGTGTAGGACCACTGCTCCTTACAAATGTCCTAATAGCATTGCAGGATGTGTCAAATGCAGATGACAAATTGCCCTTGAGAGATAAATAAAAAGTATACAGTACCTTAACCTTCACTCATATGTGGGTAATATATACAAGTAAGAGCAATTCATTCAAAGGAGTGGATTTTATTATCGTACCGTGAATCCAAGATATGAAATAGACTCATGACAGGATGTGCACATCAGAAATAAAGATAGAATGCGCAGAATTGTGTTTGAGTTTACAAGCTCTGAGCTAATTATCAACTTTATAACAAATAAACCCTTTTTTCATCTCACATTGTGTGTTACAATGTATTACTTTTGAATGCGCTGGGAAACGGCTGCAAGTCCTATAGCTCTGAAACAGTTGTTGCTTTGTGCTTTACAATTTTTATTTTTATTGCTTTTTTCTGCCTGAGATGTTGCTGCAGTACAGTGTGCATAGTTTTGCACTGGTCCAGACCAGAGCAGAGTAGATTCATGGTCCGACTCCGAACCAAGTGGATCAGATGAAAATCCACTGGAGGAAAGCTGACTTTTAGAAAAATTCTATGGGGATCAATAAAGTATCTATCTACAAGTCTGTCATTTAATATGGTTTCACATTGTAAGTTGAATTGCAGAAGTAAATGGATTTAGGAACGATATTCTAATTATCCGAGTTTCACCTGTGAGTCTGCCTCAGAAAGGCTCCCACCAACAAACACAAGTTGGATCTCGACCAAAGGAAACTTCCGCCGATGTAGACACTGTGAGAACATGGTGTAAACGCATACTCAATTAATAGCTTTATTAACACTACCCATGTGGTAGCTGAGCACAGATTTGCCATTTGCTCAAAAATCAATAATAAAAGCTCATCTCTCTAATGACTTTCTAAGTGTCAAGCATTGCAGTCACCACAGTGGATAGCAGAGGTGGGAAGAAATTACACCTGTGGATATGTGCAGAGAGCCATGACTTCCCTAGCCTTAATGAGGACTTTGATCTCTCTTGCTATCTTTAAACTCTAGAAATGCTGTAAAACCGTCAAACAAATAATTTCAGTTAAAGTAATAGTTAATCATTATATTTAAGATCAAAATTAGATCTTAAAAAGAATAAACTTAACTAAAATTCTAAATTACATTAGAATTATTGATCTCACCTTAAAATCTTGAAGAACAAAACACAATAATAGAAAGTAAAAACGACCAATAAAGCAGCCTATGAATGTGACTGAATGCATTTTCTTCTCTACATGGGTTAAGGCACACATCCTGCTCTTAATCACATCCTGATAAAGGAACTGCAGACAACACTTTGGTGGTTTTCATTCAGGAGCCCCTCCAATAATGGCTTTTTCCAACTGCATATTTTTTTTTGTCAATTAAGTAAGTAAGTAATCTTTATTTATATACCGCCTTTCACAGACCAGAGTCACAAAGCGGTTTACAATTGTTATTTTTGGGCATTTGTTCTCTCACTCCACACATATTTTTTTAGTGGTAGGGGAAACCGGAGTACCCGGAGGAAACCTACGCAGACACGGGGAGAACATGCAAACTCCACTCAGAAAGGCCCTGGTCCGACCGGGATTCAAACCCAGGAACTTCTTGCTGAGAGGCGAGAGTGCTATCCACTCAGCCACTGCCGCCCGGCAATTAGTCCTTCACAATTAGACAATCAAGTAAATACATTATTCCCAGTCTATTTCACGGCAACATGTGCAGTCACAAGAATCATTCATTATTCATAATTGAATGAACGACATTAGGAACAAAATCCAAAAGTAAAAGAAGATAAAACATCAGAAGTAAAGACTGGACTGGAACGGGCGGACAGGAGCCCAGTGTTGAGGGAGACAAGATGTAAATGTAATTAGTACAAATGAAAACAAAACCAGGTAAACCATTGTTGGCTCAATACAAGTTTCAAATGGTCACAATTAGCAGTCGTCATCAATGGCTTTTGTTATGCATTACACGAGCGAGAGGGGGTGTGTTTGCATAGAGCTGCATGCTGTTTATGTGCACAGACCGTTTTCATGTATTTATGAAAATTAGATTCATGAGGAAGCAATGTCTGAACTCTTATTTTGTGTGATAATTTTATTTTGTCATCAACATCTGACCACTGACCACTGTGCCGTTTCACAGGTGTTGTTTAACAGCGTGAGCATTCTGACGCTGCTGCTGGACACACACATGAGAGTGAGCGCCATTCGTTTCTACCTCCTCAGCCTCGTTATATCAGGTACAGAGTTCATTAAAAATGTGAATCAGATAATCAGTGCCTTGATAATAGTGATAATAGTGTCTTGAACACTATTACTGATGTAATCTGCAGACTTCCAAATAAGTGTAGGAACCACAGCCATTAAGTGATAAGTAACTCCAACTCTCAAATTACATTTTATCCAATTATAACATACTGTAGTCAGCTGCAAATATGGCTTGACCCCAAATAAATTCTAACAAAAGGTTTCTCGGTGGTTTACAGTAGTATCAGATGTACTGTAGTTAATGATGCTTATTCTGCTCATATTCATATTCTCATATTCTCCGCTGCTAAAGTGGAATATACACATCTGTAAATACTTCTGAACTAAGTGCAATTATAGCCTCAGATTTTATTTTATTTTATTCTTTATCTTATTTCAATTATACAGTATTATCTATTATCTTGGATGTGTGCAATCTGAGTGCTCTTATTTTCTTTCTCTGCTGTAATGTGCGCAACGATGACACTGAAATTTCTCCACTGTGAGACGAATAAAGGTTTATCTTATCTTATCTTATATTAAAAGTTTACCAAAGTTTGACTCCAAAAAAGGCCCCATTTTCAAAATGGCGGCCATCAGGTCCTTAAAATGACCATTACTCCTTTGTATTTCTCCTAGACCAGGAATACTGTGTCTGATACCTGTTTTGGTCATATAATATTCTAATTAGTATATTTGCATGAAAAATAAGTGATTAGTACAATTATATATATTATATATATTAGAATAATTATACAGTATATTAAAGCCGCAAGCGGCGTCAAACGGTCCTCGCCGCACCCCGCAAAAAAACCCTTGCAGTTTTCCAGATGAAAGCTTTACAAGCCTTTGACTCGCCAGCACAAACACAGGAAATGCAATGATTAAAAAAAAAAGAAAAAAGAAAAAACACACACACACAGTCATTGAAGGGCAGGTGTCCTGATCATCAGCATGGTCCTTAGACCCTGTCCTTAAATACATTTTGAAGGGACAACAAACAAAAATTGAAAAACTGTCATACGTGATATGATGATGCCCTCACAAGTTGTCATAAAGAGACAAATGAAACGAAATGCACTTGTTTGAGCTTTTACCAATGTTACAAAATTGTTCCCTTATTTAAAATCCATCTCCTCTAATATAAGGAAGATCTGGCACAAACATGATGATATCAAACTCAGATCAGTGTTCTGCCCACAAATTAGTTTTGGCAGTGTCTAAAGTGAAATTACATTCTTCACTAGCACATGTCCATGTTAACAACTGGTAATGTTCATATTTGTAAAAGAAAAACAACTTCTACACCTCCTTCTGCGTAGAGGATTGCGTAGAGAAAGGGCTGGCATAATTTACCATATATTTCACATTCTAAAACATGAAATTAAATGACAAAGTAAAAAGTTTCTTTTATAATATGTAATATTTCCTCTTTATAAATCTGTGCTCTGTGCTCTTATGATTTGTAGACATTCTGCAGCTGATGACGATTCCGGTCACTCTGTATCGATACTACTGGGAGAACTACCCCTGGCGCCTGGGCCGAACTGTGTGTAAAGTGTACTTCATGGTCCGACAGGTGTACTGTGCAACCACCAGTTGGGTTATCATGACCTTCACCACAGAGCGCTATGCAGCCATCTGTCACGCTATGTGGTCCGTTTCCAGTTTGAAGGTGATCTTGATATCTTGTATCTTGATTTTGTAATGGCACATGGTACAGTATATGCATCCGAGCCTATGGTATGTTGCCATTGCAGAATATTTGTAGGTAATTGTGGAGCACTTTTTGTTGTTCAACAGAGGTCTCGATTGCCCTGCCTCTTGGTTGTTTGGATCATCTCACTGATCTCTGCGATTCCTTTTGCTCTGGTCTATGACGAGGCCCGTGCTTGTGTTCTGGACTACACTGCAGCCAGTTATAGAAGCGCCTTTCAGGTCTCTACCATGTGTGAGATGACAGAGCCGGATCCTGCACACATTTATAAGGCGGCCCTCATTGTGAGAGCAGCTCTGTTTTTCCTGGTGCGTACAGACACTTAATGCACAACAAGAAGATTAGTAGATTATTTTGGCTGAATTCAGTCTCTGTGCAGGTCCCACTGGTATCTATCTTTGTTCTTTACCTCCTCATCCTGCTGTACCTCAAGAAGAACAGTCGTCAACGAAGTAACATGGGTCTCACGCGCCACAACCCAGAAGAGAGGAGAGATGTTCAGTGCCACAAAAATGGAAAGTTACTGCTGAACGAAAAAAGAGCTCTAAAACTCATGGGTAAGTTAAAGCCAGGATTCCTGACTTTTCTCTTTTTACATATTATTTCTATGACTAGAAAGAGTCTCATCAAAATAAAATGTCAGGCGACAACTTGCTGTCCTCATCTTATTAGAAAACATTACATCTTTGTCATATTTGTCTCGTCAAATAGAACTCACATTTGACTATAATTTGACGAGATCTGATTTGCTGCTCTTTTTAACTTTTCTAACTGAAAATAGTTTATCGAAAGATGCGTCAGGGACCAAAAATACACATTTTTGTGAACTAGTGATTGAACCAAACTGTTTAGAGAGCAGTTTGGAGGGGAACTATAGATTGATTTTATTTATTTGTAAATGTCTCCTGTGTGAGATCAATAAAGTCTATCTTATCTCATCTTAGTTCCATTTTATCATGAAAATGTGAGACAGAGGGACAAACTCAACTATTATTTTGTGTAGGTGCTGTGGTCACTGCTTTCTTCGTGTGCAATTTCCCGGACATCGCTTCATCCCTCATGCAGGTGTATGTTGTTGTGTGGTCCGACACTGTCCACACAGTTTACAACATACTAAAGTCATATCTGTCTCTGCCACTGTGGTATATCAACGGGGCTCTGGACCCTCTGCTCTTTTGCTTGTCCTCCCACACTTTTCGTAGAGCGTGTTGGCGAACTCTTTCACGGCTCCGAATTAACCGCTACTGGAACTTCAATGGCATGTCCTGTTTGAGGCAGAGCAGCACCAGCTACAGCAGCACGTCGAGAAAAGAGGCCCAAAGTGGTCTCTCTGCCGAGCAAATCCATCTGAACCTGAGAGACAAACCCAGGAAAGCGTCAACTACACCCTTGACAGATTCAGAGCCACATAGTGCCACTGCTCAGGAAAAACCATTGAAATTAAGCCACATTATAATACACATTAAATAATGAGCATACTGTTTACTGTTACAACCATTTCTGAATTTATCATATCGTTGCAGTTCAACTGAAAAATACAAGCAACTTTTGTCATCACTCCTCCAAAGAGTGCAAAACAAATATTTGTGTGCTCTTCTGTTGAGGAAATACAACAGAACAGCACACAAATATTTAAAAGGAAAATATTATATATTATATTAGCAAACACATTCACTATTGCAATTTAAGAATTGTGATTTCGTGTTGTTCCTTCTATGTATTTTCTAGTGTTCACATCTCTAGCAGTGCTATTTCTACAGTGAAACTGTGGACTAAATATGCATATTTAAAAGAGTTCTATATTAGATATTTAGAATAGTGTCTATAAATAACTGGATTGTGCCTGTAAAACTATTGTTGAAATAAATCATACAATATTTAAAATGACTTCGTGTTTTGAATTTGTATTTTATTTTGTATTACCACATAGATTTTAGTTTGATCCGTGTAACAGGGTAGCACCAAGGCTGTGAACACACAACTGTGGAGTGAAAAAAGAGTTATTATCATTTAAAAAATAGAAAATAAATCTGATACAGCCTAGTTCTATTGTTGTAATCTAATTATTTTTCTTAGGAAAAAAAAAATGTTTTGGTTTTGACTACACATGAAAAAGTGCCTGGCCCCTGGCTATGACGGCAGCGTTCGTCAGATCGTATGTGACCAATCACAGCGCAGGGGAGGGGCTAAAATAGAAACAGCGGAAGATTCAAACGAAGATGGCGGCCGACAACAACCACAATCCGGACCAACGGTAATGCTTTTCACAATTTTGTAACATGCACACGTACAAATGACGGGTTTAAACGTGACATGACCTGGTTTACAATCCTCCCATATGAGAGCAGCCTTACAGTTTGCATCAACTTCATCTACGCATCGGCAGAGCTGGTGGTGCTGGCGTTACCTCTGCTGTGTTTTTACTTTGGAATCGTTTTCTAATAATTGCAACTTTACTTTTAGCTCGACGAAATGCAACTCGTTTCACATTCAAGAAAAACCCCTGTCGAGCCAGCCCGTTATCTTCAATCCGGACTTTTTTGTGGAAAGGCTGAGACATGAGCACCCCCAGGCCTTCACGGATCTGGTCCTCAGTAACATTACTCGGCTGATCGACTTGCCTGGAGACGAGTTTTCTCAACTCAGTGGTGACGCTGAGCCCAGAGTGCCTTCGTCCTCTTCTGCTGGTGGCTTCCTGCGCTCCTTCAACTTTCTGAGACGGAAAGGTTTGAAAAGCATCTGAGATTTAATGTTTATGATCATTCTTGCATACATCGTATTCATGGCTGCTTAGTGATAGTTGGAACTATTGTCGTAGTTAAAGCTGAGGTAACCAACTTTCTACAAATTGCTAAAAAATATGAGTGGCTGCATATATCTTCACTATTGGCCTCTGACTAGCCCCATTAATGATCTTGTAAAGCAGATTTGTACTAAAGAAAGATACTGAACATTGCCAAAGACACCACATTAGTTTAGCACTTTACAGTTCCCCCTCTACCCTGCTTAGCTTCTGTGGTTTGGCAAGATCAGGCTTTCACATGAAGCAATTTTTTGTCACATTTTTGTGTCACATTCTACCTCTGCTTTTTTTAAAGTGAAAGAGGGCCACTCTTGCTCATCTCAAATGGTGACTTAGGGCTATTTTATAAGTATGAAAAGGATCAATGCAGTTTTAAAGTTAAAGACTGCATGATTTTATCTGCGTTTACACCACTTTTTCTGCTTAGAGAAACACAATGTATCCTTTTTTACAACGTTGGATGCCCTAGCTTAAAAGGTTTGCTGTGTAGTTTGTGTCTGAATCAATCAACCAAATTGAGGCTCTGAAAGCATCAAAATATTTGAGATGTTTTGTACTTTATTCGTTCGGTTGATTAATCACTTGAAATCTTATAGCCATAATATTCATCAATGGATTATTTTAGATGAGGATTATGAGATTCCGTAGATTATATTGAGTGCTCCTATTTGTGCCGTTGTTTTGGAGGACTTTGCTAATGTGTTGAATTGCCAAAATCAGATAATAAACTTCAAAGAGATCGGCATTTGTTGTTCTGCTTAAAAATGGACTACTCAAACCAGTACATAATGCATCATTTATTCCAAATATAATCACTGATATTAAATAATCATATATAATTATTATTGCTGTCAAACAATTAAAACATGTAATTGAATGAATGTCTTAGTTGTTTTACGATTTAATCGCCCATTTCTCCCTGGTTTAAACGTCCCTTTTATTTGGTTAGAAAAGAGATCGGACAAGTAAAAGGCGTAATATTAATCCGATCCACACTTGTCCACACCGGTATTTCGTAAACACTGACTTCTGCCATTTTGATAATGGCTAAAAAGGCTGTTAACCAGAAACTGCAGCTAAGAATAAAACTCATGTCAGAAGTGTCCCTTTATGAATTGGCTAGTTTTCTAAATAATATATATAATATCTTTGGAAGGATCTTCTTTTTATTATCTTTTAATCTGTGCACAGAAAACAAATCTGTTTTTAATTGTAGGGCCTAGAAGGTATAGCCATTACAAAACCCAATACATTACTCAAATATTTCCATGGAGATTGCCTTGATGCTGCTTTTAGAAATGGTTTGTTTGTGTTTTTTTTCTATTTTTATTCAGAAAAAGGCCTTATTTTTGGTGCACCTTTGACCGAAGAAGGAATTGCGCAGATCTACCAACTTATTGAATACTTGAGTAAAAGTAAGTTTTGTTGTGTCTTTTCCCTAGTCTGACACACACACACACAACTGATTTGTCATGACTGCCTTGGGAGACTGAAGGAAGGCTGCCAATCAGTGCAAACGGATTCTTGATCCACAAACCTTTTATTCATAAGAGGCGCTGTAGTGGGTGAACTGTCTTGTCCAAAGACAGTTTGCACATAAGCGCCTACATCATTCCACTATGGTACTTGGAATTCCCAGTGGTCTTCCATCCATGTACTAACCAGGCCCTAACATGCTTCCTTTGAGATATCATTATCAGTCAAGGAGCAGAGAATTGACATTAGGTCAAGGCTTATTTTAGGACGGAATGATGTCATTCTGCTTAAAGTAGACACAGGGAGCAAATGTTCTTGTCAATAATTTATCTAAAAGCACTTTCCTTGCTCTCCATTCAGTCTTGTCTTGTGCCTCTTTAGTCACTCTGCATCCATTCACCTGGCTGTGTGGCTCTCGTCTGTTCTTTCTCCCTCAGACCTCCATGTGGAGGGCTTGTTCCGTGTACCAGGCCACAGTCTACGTCAGGCTGCCCTAAGAGAGATGCTAAACTCTGGTGCAGATATTGAGCTTGAGACTGGCGACTTCCACCCGAATGATGCTGCATCTCTGCTCAAAGCTTTTCTGGGGGAACTCCCAGAGCCTCTTCTCACTCACAGACACTTCCTTGCTCACATAAAGATTGGAGGTGCTTAAGTTTCCCCTGAAAATATACAAAAAGGTTGCACAGAAATGACATTTCTCACGCTGTCTTGTTTCCAGAATTGACTCGCTTTGATGACCTGGGAAATAAGACCGCCATTGCTGATAAAGAGCGCCAGATAGAGGCATTTCAACTGCTCTTCATGTTGTTGCCCCCAGCCAACCGCAGCCTATTAAAACTGCTCCTCGACCTTCTGTACCATACGGCCCGTAACCAACGTGTCAACAAGATGTCAGCAATAAATCTGGCTACAATGTTCGCCCCACATATCATTTGGCCCAAACATGTAATTGTTGTGTTTCAGCAAACATGTTGTGTGTCTCCTGATATTGATAATAACGTTTATGTTTTTGACAGGTTACAGCTAGCGATCTGCAAGAAAATATTGAGAAACTAAATAAAGGTGTAGCATCACTAATTCGATACTCACAAAAATTATTCAAGGTGAGTTTCATGTCCTATGTGTCCTTTTTTTTTTTTTTTTTTTAAGTCACCATTTTTATATCAATGCACTGAACACAAACAAAAGCCATTTCTTAGAGCCAAATATGTTTTAATCATGTGAACCTTCTGTGATTCCCATGGTAACGAATGAACACTATTTTCTATGTGATTTTATTGGACAATCTGCAGGGTTTTGTTGTTGAATTATCCAATTTCTTATTCTTATGTAATTTGTTTTAGTTTTTTTACTGGGTCTGCTCAGCACACACGGTTGACTGAAACTTTTATTTCTATTAAGGCACCTGTTTATATCAAAGAATATGCAAGATTATACTTCACTGGATCAACAGCACTTAGATCGACTGTAAGTATATTCAAATGTATGTATTCACACTAGGGGTGGGAACCTCAGGGTACCTCGCGATACGATACAAAGCTCACCATAATGATTATATCACGATAATGATTATATCACGATATATTGGTCAGAAATATACCATATGCCAATTTATGGTGTAAATAAAAGAAAAATGTTAAGTGAAAAAATACACTTCATTTCATGATGAATGAAATGGAGATGCGTAATGTAGTCCTATATTAAGTATTGATACTAATTTAAAAAAAAAATTATATATATCAAAATTGATACTTGGTAAATGCGTATCTATAATCGATTGCGGGAGAAAGTATCACAATATATTGTAACACTTGCAATACACAATGTTCTTTTGTATCAATATTATCCCATGGAACCTTTTTTTTCCTGTATCCTTGGAAGGCATAAACCTCAACGTTGATTTGGCAGAGATGCAGCTATAGAGCTGTAGATGGCCCAATTAATTCTTGGTCAACTAATGAGATGCCCAGTTTATTTGGACAACTAAAAAGAAAGCATGACAGAAGCTCTGGAAGCACAAAGCTGTTAGTCTTCCAATCACAAACAATGCTTTTAATAAAGAAAGATGAATGTTGTCTATTGACATATTACATTAATTTCTACTGATGCAAAGAAAAAAACAGACTTTGGAAAATGGACTGCTGGTGGTGCAGCTACATGTTTCCCCAAATGGATGCATGAAAAAGATATGACTCATATTTTTGTACAGGTGAAAATGTAATCTTCCTCTCTGTTTGCATTGACATGTTTAGGACGACATGACTGTTTTTTCCGACGGTATGAATAGCCCTACAGTGTCTCTTTCAACCCCAACAAAAAGGACAGGGCCAGCCCTCGATGACCCAGAGAACCAGAACTACACAGAGTCTGCACTGAAGGAGCTCTACCAGCAGGTCAACAAGATGCCAGAGTCTGCGAAGAAGAAGAAACTCATTAAGCAGGTATTGTTAGAGTAAATTTCATGTTGAAGTTGGATAAATGACTTGATGTGTTTTTCAACAGTTGGAGAAGCCAGTCCAGACTCCTACAGACTCAAGAGCTGCTTTTTCCAGAAGACACTGGCGGTCACGTTCTTTGGGAGAAAGAATCAAGGTAGGTTGAAATAAAATCAACTCAGTCGAACCAGGCTGACTTTAATGAATGTTTTTCAAATATTCGGTAACAGAGGAAGGTGTTGGGAAGCCAGATACAAATTGATAATGAAAATCGGCGTCTAAAAAGTACCATATCCAACACGTGTGGTGAATCCCCAAAAGTGATTAAAGTATGTGAATGTTTATGCATTAATAAACATAACTAGTTACCACTGATTACAGTTCCTCCTTTTTGCCACTCCTGCAGGACTGAAGGCTCTTGACACCTAATTTTCTGGGATTTCAAGGATTTGCTCAGGTTTTTTTTCTTACATCTTGTTTAATTTACTGTAAAGCTTGTGAAATCTGTCATTTTTATGACTGTTTCATAGGGTTTTAAAATCCAAAGGTATATTTATATTTCAGCAAAGCGTTGGAAGACGTTCATAATGTGATTTCCCCTTCATTGTGAACCACTGTTACTTGAAAAGTCACTATTTGCAAAATGGCCAGATTTGCAAAATAACATTTAATATATTATTTAAAATGAGCCCTTTTTTAATAAAAAACAAAACAAAAAACTATCTAATAGAATGTTCATGCAATTGAGCTTCTTGTAAAATGTGCCTTAAATGATCTTAAGGTTAGATTTTGTTTGGCAGAAGTCAGGATGTTGAGTTTAATGTTGGACTACTGTTACTATTCATCTTTCAAGTGTTGTAGTTTTCTTGTAGATACAGTTGTTTTTGTGTGTTCAATCCAACATGTATAATGTTTTTGGCATTTTATTTTTGATAAAGGAAAATGTGATACTGTGTTCTACCTAGGGTTACTACCACTAAACTGAACATGTTCCTATTCTGTTCAACTGTTACCATTTTTTTATAATGAGCCTTGTCTACCTGGACATTGTAAACTAACACTCCTGTACTATGCAAGCTATCCATTAAATTTCCTTCAGTGACTTGTCTTTTAATTCATAAACACTGTTTGCCACCAGATGGCAGTATGTTTCTATAAATATTAGCAACATGGAAACAATCTGAGCAAAAAAGCTGGGTAAAATGTTTACTAAAAGTGTATTATGTAGTCCTCGACCTGTTTTGTAAGTCTATATACAATGTAGTGAACTCCTTTTTGGGGAGTTGGAGGGCGAGAGTTGACTGGATCGAACTCCACAATAGTAGGAATGTCTCTGTGTCATTATGGTGTCCATGTTAGGGATTGTAAGTATATGTTGTAAACATCTGTTTGAATGGGCCTGTTTTTTTTTTCTCCTTCTGTAAATATACATCAGACAGACTATTTCCATCATAGGGTGGCTATTGTTTCACACAGGAATTCTTGGTGTTTTATTTAGAATTCCTGCTCTGAATGAAGCATGATGCCTGCAACATGAATAAGCATTTGAACATTTCTGTAAAGCTAATCCAACGTGTCCTCCCACTGGAAGCATTTGAATAACTCAGTTTGTGTGGATTTTTATCAGACCTGAAAGTGGAGGGATATTGTTGCCCACCCCCATTACTACTAAAGACCACCACCTCCTCTTTAATTAGCCACTCACAGGAGAAAGATCTATGCAGTGATGACACTTTTACTGGTGCAGATGGGGCCCTACACCTGAAATGTCTACAATTACAGCAATCAGACTTATCACCGACAAATCTTAAAATCTCAAAAGTCATTCTTTTCCATCGCTATCATTAGTTATGTAGACTTGTTTACATTTTAACTAGGTTCATTCATTCAAAGTGAGGAAGGTTGAGAATGTTGAGAAAGTGAGAATGTTTTGTACAAGATTTATTATAGACACACTTAAGAGCGTTCACAACCAAAGTGCAGTTTTAGTCTCCTATTCTTGAAACCGCAAACTAGTGTGAAATATCTCATTACACTGTGAATAGCCTGATATGTACACTGTTTTACTAACTGACATCCTCTTCAAAGTAAAATATACACTGCATTCCTTTGACCTGAGTGTGGACCAGGCGTCTATCTGATACTTTAATTTTGTTTCTGCAACTCTGTCCATTCATGTTTGCATATTTCAAACGTTCTCATTTCCCATGTTTTCTTCAGTCCAAAGCTTTTTTTTACCCCCTTAACTGAAATATATATATTAGCCTCATTCTAAATACAGTGTAGACTATTGTTCTCCAGACTTTCTCTCTGTGTGGCCCAGTAGGATCCGCGTTGAAAAAGGTATAATTACAGATTATTTATTCCGCCTTTGTGTCTCTATGGACTAAGGTGTTGATTCCTTGCTTCCCGAGCGGATTTTCCTTCGTTACATGTACACACGCACATGCACAATTCTCCCATGGTCTTTTTATTTTTTTTACCTAGCATCTCCCATTAGGCTGAGGTTACATTGAGTCAAACCTATAGCACCAAATTTCAATGGAGCTGGGAATGACCTGAGCTAAAAGGTTTACCAAATAAAGGGGAAAAATAGTGGATATGGATTTAAATGAATAGACTGGAAAAGCAAGGGGAGTGGGGGGTTTTGGGGGGGGAGTGAAGGAACCAGAATGAGTTCAGGCAGGGTATTGGGTGTGGGGCATGTGTGAAGGGGAGGGGTATCTCTATACAGAGAGTGGGTGGAGTCTGGCTTGTGGGGGGGGCTTTTCTATTTGTAGATCCTTGTGATGGATGACTTGTGTGTGAGTGAGTGAGAGAGGGAGGGAGAAAGCTTTTTTCTTTCTCCTTGCTTCTCCTGCCCGATTCCCTCACTCCTCATACGCACAGAGCAAGAGCGTAGGGAGGTGCACACGCCACAGCACTGCAACTCTGCCAAGAAGACAAGAGACAGGAGTGGAGTTTTGAGTGCAGGAGCAAAAGACAAAGAAAGCCCGTTAGTAAATAGTAGTGGACATCGCAAATACTGGGAGAAGATACAGGATTTTCTCTGAAAGCTTTGGACTCAGAAAGTGTAGAGGTGATCATGCCGATGAAAGGTTATGGGACAGGGGTTCAAGGCGCTCCCCTCTGGAAGTGCCTTTGCTTTCTGCTTTCCGTGCTGTTTCTGGACAAAGCTGAAGCCTGTCCGGCGCTGTGTACCTGCAGCGGCACCACGGTGGACTGTCACGGCCTCGGACTGAAGACCATGCCGAGGAATATCCCTCGCAACACTGAACGCCTGTAAGTACCACTCCTCCCACGTGTGAGAACTCTGCAGGTTGAGCTCAGAGCGGCGCACATGACTTTGGAAGAACAATAGCCTCCTGTAAAAGCAATAGAAGTGTCAATCAGGGATCTGGCAGAAGCAAGTAGAACAGGAGCAGATGTGCCAATGAGACAGGTCCTTAAAATTTAGTTAGCTGCAGTTTATTTCTAACGATTCAGAACTCTGTCATTTCAAAATTGCAAGGCTTGACTCAAAAGTTTACATTGTAATTCATTGTAAATGGAACCAGATTTTCTGCCTGAACAGTGTGCTGATTGGCTTTACGTATGTTTGTAGAGACATTACCACACTCATGATAACTGTGCCAGCCTCTAGTTACTTCAGCTCTCCAATCCTCACTCCGCAAATTGTTTAATCACAGAGGAAACTAGTCAAATCTTCCACTTACAAATCAAGCAGTAAAGTTTCGTATGACGCGTTCACATAGAAATCAGAAATGTGAGGTGAAAATGTTCAGCTTTTAAAATCAGTCTTGAATAAAACATGCAGTGGGAACAGCGCAGAGAACGCATGTGTCAGAGGCAGCAGTGGCATTGTGGGGCTGCATATTTGATCATTTTTATTTCATATAGTTTCTAAGAACAGCTATTATTATAGTCACTTTGGTTTATGGTTGAAGGAAACAGCCATTTGAGGTTTTCCTTTTGCATGAATGGTTGTTTATTCTTGAAATGCTCGACGCCTCTAATCAAATGCAGTTTGTGTTTAAAGAAGTTTATGATTTCATGGTTCAACTACAGAATCCCACTATTTAGCATCCCCTAAGTTGTTTTCATGCTGGATTTGTTATAGTAAACAAGCATGTGTGAGGTGTGTTTATTCTATGGCTGTGTGTAGGTCACCCAGAACATTAGTGAACAATAACCCTTCTTCTCATCTTTCGTAGTGATTTATCAAGATGCCTGGGCTCGCCACTATGGCTCACCTTGCCCCACGCACTGGTCCCACGAGCATAGCAAGATTTATGTCTATACTTTTGGAAAATTGCATATTTATGTGAACAGAGTAGTGCAACCTCTGAGTAGGTCTGGATGATTTTTGAAAAATGGTTCAAGCAAATTAAGATGCGATGACCTGAGAATGATGAGAGATGTGTATTGAGCTGCAGCAGCGCTGAGGTGTCAGAGTGTGTGTTTGCTCTAATGTATACAAAGTGGTGGCTGTGGGAGAGCTGAGGAGGGCGGCTGCATGGGGCACTGTGTGTTTTGGGGTTGGGTGTGTGGAGGCAGACAGCACAATCCCATTTGCACTTGTCAGTGTGACTTTGGATCAGGTCTTTAGGCGCAGTCTGTAATGAAAATGTTCTCCATGTGTTAAATCACACCCCACTGCACGGACCACTGACCACTCCATCCTTTACTGCCTTTGTTTGAGGGGAGAGCAGCACATACATATAACAACTTTGAATCTGTGTCTATGGCTGCATGGATCATTATGCAGTATGCTATACGTGTTTAGATTGGTGTGAATTTGTTTGATCGGATTATCCAAATGTTTTCTTTTTTTTGAGAAAGCTTTTTGTAGTGAATATTGCTTATAAAGAGGTCCAATGTATGTAATTCATTGTCATTGTATTGTTTGAGGTGAGATATTCTTTATGTGTGTATGTGTGTGTGTGTGTGGGGGGGGATGCAAATAAATTCTGTTTTTTTCCCATCTGAGAAGGTTTTGCATCCAGCCTGCATATTATCTCTGAATTTCAAGTCTTTATATTTAGCATACATGTTTCATGAACATACTGCTTAGGACTGATGATAGGCTGCTGAGCATCAAAGACACTTATTCTGAACGTAAACCCAGCTTCTACTACTACTCTTGCCTTTAGGGAATCCAGATATCAGCTAATCATGAAAAAGGAAAGACACTAGCACCAAATCCCTGCACTGTCGTTCCCCTGCTGGTTTTATGCTAATCTGAAGCGAGTGAGGGTGAATGCATGATTGCTGCTGTATGTCAGTGGACCATGAAAGTCAAATTTTAAGAATCCACCTCACCTCTTGATCCATTTTCTGGAAAAACAAAGGGAAACTCCTTAAATTGAAAGTGGGGGAGGACACTGTAGGCCATGACCTAATTGTCTCAATTTTATGCTTATTAAAATCATCTCTTTTTCAGATGAAAGCATATTCCTCTACATCCAAGCCTTAATCACCAATACCATGTCTTACAAAATACATTATTCAATCAACTTTAACAAAGATCTACATATAGCTATACTGCAGAAAATGTCGTATGTGTTGATAGACAAAAGTAGAATAGGATCAAGCATGAAATAGGCATGGCAGGGCACACATTCAGTGCACATGACACACTTCACAAAGGACCCATAACATCTTATTATGCACAAGAGCCACAACTGTGAGCTGTCTATCCATGCAAACAAGACTAATGTTTCCATTTCTTATAGGCATTTGCAATAAGACACTACAACCATGATTGATTTACATACATTTAACCTCATTACCACATATTGGATCTTTTAAATAGATCATATTTTATATAAAAACATTCAAATATAGGATGCATCCCTGTCCTCCTTGGAAAACGCACTCCATCACAGTCCAGGCACAAAACCGAGCAGGGCCTTACCTGTATGATAGTTGTTGTTGAGTAGAAAGCCAGAGTCTCCACAAAGACCTGTCTAAAGCCAGAATCAGACTTTTCTAGAAACAAAGAAACAGGATAATCATCATTGGTTTGGTCTGGTCTTTCCTCCAGGCCAGTGTCCTCTCCTCTCTGTGGCATATGTCCCCCGCATGAGGCTGGTGTAGGGCCATAATGCTGCTGATGAATGAGCACGGTGCTGCGCGGTGCTTATCTGGCCTCTACCTTCCCTGTCGCGCAGAAGCTGTTCCTGACAAATGGTCATACGGTGGACCATTGTTGCACTATGGATCTCGTGAGCGCTCGATCAAGTGTTTGGATGAGAATAGTTGAATCGTGCAGATACATAGTAGTTCGCTGTGGTTTACAGGTGTGTGCAGGAGAACAGCACAAACACGTGGTGTAAGTCGTTGGCGCCGTCAGGTTTGTGGCCTCCTACACTTTAGCAGTAGAACTCTGAAACTTTACCTTTATGTTTCTCTCTCGACAGCATTACATCATAATTAATGACGAACTAAATGTATAGGATAAAACATCTTTGAATAATCTGGCACTAATTGAGACCATTGATATTATTGAGACATGCTGGCTTACGTCATAGCGTCATAGCAAGGAGAGGTAGGCAGGATGTTCTGTGTTTTGGTTTTTACAGAGCCATAAGACTGAGAACTGTTGTGTCATTACTGTATGTACTCATTATTAGATCATATTAGACAGCTAACACACCACAAACTAATACAGATGCTTTCTGAACACAGTCCCCGAAGGACTTAAAAGTGTTTAGTTACTTAATAAAACGTGTTGCCTCTCAAATAAACTGAACATTACTATTCCGTTTATTCCGTTTATCAAACACCAACCCCCCTTAATGAACCTGATCTACTGCACTTTTACTAGTGTCATCTGCTTACCCTTCTTTTTCTTTCATAAATGACACTTCGCTTGTCCAACAAAAGAGTAAAGGTAAAATGTGTATGCACAGATCACACCATATAATGCTATTTTAATCTAATTAGAAACAAAAGGTTATATTTTCATACTTAATAGAGCCAATGTGATTGACTGTTTGACTGTTGTGGAGAGCTGATTGGATGAGTGAGGTGGTGGGTCTTCTCTTTTCTACTTTTCTGTCTGAAGAAAAACCAGCTCAGACTTTATAGTTAGTTATACAATTAATAATGAATTTTAGAAGAATCTATAACACCCGAAGGTCTTGGGTTCCCACAGTCTACATTGTCTGTAACAGCCACTGTCCCTTGAATATGTGAATTATGGAGAGATTGTGGTTGGTGCACTTGGAGGTGTGTTCTAACTCTAGGCTCTATCGAGGGAGCAGAGCGGATGGTGAATAGATAGTGACGCGTTAAATCCACTTGCTCTGCAGGAAGTATGTCAGTGCTCTGAACCCTTGCAGTTTCCACAGGACTGAACACATTGAACAAAATCAGTTGGAAAGGATATCCTGGGGAATAGTGGGAGCAGTACCAATATGTTTCAGTCTACTTTGCTTCACTATAATCATGGAAATAGGTAAAGATAATTGAATTAAACAAAACATCTGTACGGAGTAGAAAAAGGACCCGGTCTTTTGTGTCGTGCCAAGCCGTTGGGCTTGCTGTGATTGTAAAAGAAAGCCAGCAATATTAGAGTAATAAATAACAGATTTTACCAAAAGGTATCCACAGCATATTCACAAAAAAGAGCACCTAAGAGGCACATGCAGGAACCCCTTATTTTCTTCCTTATGTTCTGTATGTTAAGAGTCATACAGTCTGGTTGTATATGTGTTTTTATTATGCAGGTGAGGTCTTCTTTAGAAGGCTGCATACAGTACATATATATTGCAAAACAATGCTATTATTGTTTTAATCTTTGTTTTCTTCTTAATGCCTTTATATTTTCATATTTCACAGTCTTCAGTACATTATAGCTTAGTTTTTTCATTTGTTTTTAATCAAGATCCCCATTATAGTAGAACAACATAAAATGCTCAAACTACACTCAAATCTACCTTCATGATGATTCAATTTTTTTAGATTAGAATCCATCCCTCCATTTTTTACCCCTTAATCCATTCCTGGGTCGGGGGGTGCCAATTAGCTGCCACCCAATTCACAAAGCACCAGCCCCTCACTGATCCTCCTGCAGGTGGTGAGTCAACAGGAGGATGGCTGCTCTGTCAGTGATGGTACAGTCTTGATCTTTCAGCGGGGGTTTCAGGCGAAGTGGGGTTAATTATATTGCCCAAGTACACAACGACAGTAGATATCAGTGGGAGCTCCATCCGCCCTAATCTAAAAACCATCAGTGAAAAATTACTTTATTTGAAAATGTTTTGCAAAGGGAGAATCACGAATTGCAAGTGCTACTCATAGACTGTTACACTGTTTGTAGATTGTCAATCAATCAATTGATTGATTGTAGATTGTAAATTCAAGTAAAGAAATTGCCATGAAAGAAAGTTTTCAGTTTAAGCACCAGTATATTAGTGGACTTGCCCTGACTATTCTGATTCTATATTTGAGCCTGTTATTAAAAATGATACATGTGTACACCCTCCATGTTACCAGGAGCTCATATTGATAGTTTAGACATTAGTCATCACTGTGGCATTCCCACAGCATGTTAAAGCAAGTGCTCATCTCGGAGTTTTCTTGGTTTATGTCATCGTCATTCAGTGTATTTTCCCTCCACTTTTGAGTTTCCTCCCTGAAGATAACACCACAGTAAATGTAATATATTATCTGCGTGAACACCTTTTCATAAGCGTCAGAGCTTACGAAGCCTATTGCATTTTTCTGTAGCTTGGTTTTTGGCCTGTCCATGCACCTGTGTACACACTTACACCAGCTGCCTTTAATGACCGCTTTGCCTTGCAACGTGCAGCACTAGTCCCTAGAGCAGTTATTAGAAGAGAAAGAGTGACTTTGCAGAGCTGTAGAGCAGGTTGGAGTCAGGGTGCGGCGCTCCCACTACTTTGAAATTGTTAATAATAATAATAATAATAATAATGCATCGGTTTTATATAGCGCTTTTTTGGACACTCAAAGACACTTAACATGTGTCATTATTCATTCACTCCATACACAGTGGTGATAAACTACTACTGTAGCCACAGCTGCCCTGGGGCACACTGAAAGAAGCGAGGCAACCAGTATGTGCCATCGGCCCCTCTGACCACCACCAACCATTCACACACACTAGACTCATTCTAGGCAATGGGGGTGAAGTGTCTTGCCTAAGGACACAACAGCAGTTTGGCACTTTACAGCCGCACCGCTGTGGGATCAGGTGTTCCCAGAGGTTAAGTGTCTTGCCAAGACCACAGCGACAGCAGACATCAGTGGGAGTCGGTGGAGAAGGTCCCGTGGTGGGCTCAAACCCACAACCTTCACTTTGACAGGATTTTTGCATATACAAGTTTCTAAAAGCCCTCTTCAGATAATAGTATGACTTAGAAGCTCACAAAGCAGCCAGCTTCTGTTATCCTCCAAACTTTGCTTTCTGACCTTGTGGATATACTTAAAGCCCTCCTGCTGATACTGCTCTTCCAGAATCTCTGAGATCCAGAACAGTATATGTTTAGTTCAGATAGAATATTTTAACGTTCCCATTGGAGTTACTTCATACTGATTTGCTTTAAAAAAACAAAAAACATACTATATTAAACATTTAGCTTCGAAAAACAAAAATCCTAGTCGCTTTGGTTAGAACATATTCTAATGTCTTTAATGTGACATACCAACGCATTTCAGCTAACGGTTTGCACCCAACGATTGGTTTTGCGCTCTGAGGAAGGTCAGAGTGCAAAGAGGCCATGTGCGGCTGAAATGAGTTGACAGTATGCCCGATGAGGTGCCTGTTTTGAATATAGCCATGTCATAATAATTTAAATTCGCTAGAGTTCCTTGGATTTTTGTTTTTCTAAGCTTCTTACACCTGCCTCTCCAATACTCACCCTGGTTTAAAGATTCATTTACCCCACTACATCTCAATTTTGGTAAACATAAATAGATCATTTTAGAGGTTACTGTATTTTGGCTCCAGTTACTTATGACAGAACGTCTGTTATAATTATCTGGAGTTTATACAACCTCAGGTTAGTATCCATGAGTGATCTTTACACCCCTCCACTCTTTTAGTTATGAAGCAGAATAGCTCCACAGGGTCAACACTTCTCAAATATTAATTCACATGACGTGTTTCTTTACAGGGAGCTGAATGGGAATAACCTCACTCGCATCACCAAGACTGACTTCTCTGGACTAAAGTATCTCAGAGTACTGTAAGTACCTTTGTTTTGCTGCTGTCTCCTCATTCATGCTTCATCAGCCTTTTACTAATATTGGCTTTGCTGAGGAGTGCTACTTTCTAGTACATGCATGTAATATGATGTACATTATCATTTTCTTGCTCTGTGTAAGAGGCGCTTAATGTCTCGTAGAGTGTGGTTCACACCCACTCTCTGTTCAGGAGCAGCTCTTAATAATAAGCCCTTCACATAGTTAACACGTTCAGGTGAAGTCATTGACTCCCTCAGCGCTGAAATTAAACCACACTTATGACTCTTGGTTGTAAAGTACTTGTAAAAGTGTCTATTTATGTTGTGAGTGCACTTACAAGTAATGCCATAGGTGGTAAAAATCTTTGCCGAAGGGGAAGCTATGTAGACCTGAACATGTTTTAAAAGTAACTTGAGCTGCACATAATTCCTACTGCCTATTTTCAAGTCTTCTTGCTATTTCCCCACCCCCTGTGCTCATAGTTTAAACTGCGGCTATGCGACTAACTGTGCCACCAGTTTCTGTCATTATTCTTTTGTACACTTGTTCAAGACAAATTACTAGCTTGTTTTGGAGATACATCAAAACAATTACATAGAGCACCAATAGTATACAAAATGATAAAACACTTATATTACAATACATACAAACATACAGGCAATAACTTAACACTAGTAATACTTACTATTACTAGTAATAATGTAATAATAATGACATATCAAAACTTAATGCTCATGTTAGCAAAGGCCACAAGAACAAAACAGAAATCAACATTTTCTGAGCAGTTTTAGAAAGATGAATCAAAAATAGTATTGCTCGCCATGACATTTTATTTGTTTATCACTGTGGTGTTGAAATTGCTATTGCGTCTGACGTGTGGCTTATAAATCTATCAAGTGGACATTGAACAAAACAAAGCAACACAACCTTTGATCCCGATGACATATGTGCTGCACTCAAAGACTCAAGTTTATCTTTAAAGTCAGCTGTTATGAGCTTCTGTAAAGCAAACTCATCTCATTGCTCATCAGTGTAAAGCTGCGTTCAGACCGGATCATGCGTTGCGGTGACTTTTAATGCAAAGTCAATGGTGACGCGTGATTGAGCATGGAACTGCATGTCTCGGGATGCAAGCACGGACTGTGCGGTGGAGACGCAGCAGAGGCGCAGGAGCGGAAAATCAACGCACGCAGGACATTGCTGAACGTTTCTGTTCTGTTTTGGCTGTTCGTAAACAGCCAAAACAGGAGCTACACCAGGACTAAACCAGGGTTGACAATGGGGGACATAGTGCTTTGCGTTCTCATGCTCCCGTAACTGTATACAACTACTTCGAGTGTGTTCGCCGATGCGGAAGTACCGTTTAATAATAAAATGAACTTATGCCGGACCTCCGTGAACACGTACTGCTGTTATATGAAGTCTGTGGAAGGTCTCTGGACACAGAGACGCTGCAGAGCTGCATTCTTGGAGAAGAACTTTAGACAAAAAGCCGCTAGCTTAACCCCTTTAGCATCAAAGTCCGCCCGCTACTTCCGACGGGCGCCACCGCAGGCCAGGACTTCTGGTCTGAACCAAGCCCCGGCAATCCAAGATGGCGCCGTATTCAAACAAAAGGGTTTGTGCTCAGTGGCGCATGTGCCGGCACGGGCGCTGACATATTAGCAGAACTCGCCTATATTTGGGCATCGTCTGGTCCTCCCGGTTCTGCGCAGTTGAAGAGCTCCCCTGATGCGTTGGGCCAAATACGCGTGTGTGGCTCTCATGCACGTGTACGGAGGGGCTCGGCCGCGCTCTGACCAATCAGCGCTGCTGATCAGAGAAGCGGTAGAGTGGAGCTAGAGCGGGAAGGAAAACAGCTGAGTTTGTGGCACTAAAGTGCGGATTTAAAGAAAAACGAAGGATTTAAGAAGAAAAAAAGTTCAAGATGACAAGGGACACTAAAATCCCCACAAAATCCGACCTTTGTGAAAGCTGAGGTCGAGCTGTTTTAGTTTACATTGAGTTCTATGGGGAACATTTCTGGGTAGCCCACGTAAATTTAGTCTGGTTTAGTCTGCAGTACCGCGAAAATCCCCCAAGCACATGGCTCCAAGCTAGTAGTACCCTATCCAGTTATTATAACAAATCCATGGTCTGAACACCCCTGCGTCTGAAATTTAGATAATGTGCGTCTGGTGCGCGTTGCGGCAGCGTTCCAGCGTCAGTGGTCTGAACACGCCATATGGGAGAGATACAACAATACCTAGAATAATATAAATAGATCTATACAACAAACTAAATGCTGTCTTAGCTCAAATTCCCAAAGTGAATCCATTTGGAATATAAAAAATGGCTCTAATTTGAGATTCTGAGGTCATTTTGGTTATCTGAAGATTTTTATATTTGACAACAATCCTGTGTGGACCTGGGTCTGGTTCACCCCACTACCCAAAAACATTCATCATAGGTAAAATCCTCCACTTGACCAAGCCAAGCGTCAACATCTGGAGATGGGTCCCCAGGAGCTGCACTGTAGCGATCACTGCTCCTAGTAATGGGTTAAATGCAGAGGACAATGTATAAAGTGTACCATAACCTTAACCTCCTGATTAACTTTGGCAAGGTTTATTTGATTGAAAATAAGTGGTATAAAGCGTTATTTTTTATGTTTCACATGCTAAGGAAGTGAATGAAAAATAATAATATGTAAATATATACTGTAAATTCTACAATGCTGAAACATAATCAAACCACAGATTCAGATCACTTTACCTGAAATACCAAAGAAAAGACCACCTCTCATGTCTGTGTCTGATCTAGTCGCTGCACTGGACCACACCAGAGTACTGGAAAACTTTCCTGGCTGTTACTCTCTGTCCTTAGGCCAAGATTCCACAGTGTGCCCCAGCCGTTAGCCATGCCCTCTCAATGTAACTTAATGTGTCTGAGCGAGCGAGAACCTTTTCTAAAAGACCTACACCCGCCCACCTTCTTTTTGTTTGATCTCTGAAACTGCTGAATAATTAAAAATGTGTTTCGAACTGGTATTAAGGTTGCTTATTTTTCTGCAGACAGCTGATGGAGAATCAGATTACTGTGGTTGAACGAGGGGCTTTTGATGATATGAAAGAACTGGAAAGACTGTAAGTACCACCCATAGTCACTAACCTTTTCTGACCTTCAGTGAACAAGACCTCACCGTTTCCTTGAATATTTATGTAACTTAAGTGTACTGGTGTAAGCACTTTCCTGTCATTCTATTGTGGTTATGGAGCTAAGAGGGCACAGCTTGGACTTTTATTAACTCTGCCTGCAGTATGTGGGTTATGCAGGCTTAGATGTGCCTTCATCTCAGACTCCGACTCATCTGGACAGCACCAGGACTCCTTGTGGCGAGTAAAGCCACTCTGAAAGCACATAGACAAACAGAGAAAACCACACCTCATTAGCAAATCAATAGCTCAAGCCACATGGAAACCTGCATTGCACATAACTTTATGAAGACATGCCGCCATGCATACAAAGTGGTTGAAGTTTCCCTCATCTGAAACCCACATTACCATCACTTCACTAAACTAAAGCCTGTGTAGTTTTCACCTTCCCTCCTCCCACTCATCCTAGACACTGGGCAAAAAAATCTAAGTGCCAGACCAAAGTGGAAATTAAGAAGTTTGGTTCGGTAAAGTTAAAAGCCACTAAGCCGCAGCAGGTAGAGTTGAGTGTGAGCTGTGCAGCACCGCACTATTAGTGCGCATTATGCTAAAGCTCCACCTTCACTGGCCCATAGCTCACAGCAGAGCGTGGAGTGGGTGGCACTGGTCCCAACATCTGTCTCAGTGTGTCTGAAGGCAGAGCTGCAGACCTACACACCACAGCCATGCTTGCTCCCACCGCCTCTAACAGCCCATTCATAGTGAAGAAACTTGTGGTTTCCAGCAGATTAGCAACAGTCTGTTCCTCATTGACTTAACCGTTGTATTTGCATAAAGCCTGCCAGTCTTGGACTCTATGTGTGGTGCCAACCTGTCTTCCATGGCCCTCAACTGGCTCATCAATTTGTTCTGTGATCTAAAAAATACAAACAAATAAAAAACTATTTATAATACATATTTTCAGACCAAGTAAGCAGTCATTTAGCCATAATGCATTGTAATTTATCCGTTTGCGATAATTTAAGGTGCTGTCTCTACCTCTCAGACTTGCTTTTGGATATTTCTGAAACATTGTGATCTGCTCTGAAATACCATAGCCCATGGCTAAACCTATTCTACAGCAGCTCGCTGAAATTATTCACAGCCTACTCACTCAAGGGCACACTCTGACTCTGGTTGATGGTATGTTTTCCCTGCTGCAGGCGGCTGAACCGTAATCAACTGCAGCAGCTCCCAGAGTTACTGTTTCAGAAGAACCCTACTCTGTCTCGTCTGTAAGTACAATCACATTTTTACATTACTAATGAACACATACAAAAGTTATGATGTCTGATTTCTTAAGGACACCCTCTGGCCTTAGATACCAATAAGCTCTCGTCTTCATGTGAGTTCAGATTACCTGAAGCATCTGGAAATAATGGAAAGGCAAAAGGATGTCTTCTGTTGTGTGTTGCTGAAGTAGCTCTCCTAACATTATTCTGCCCTCCTCTTAGTCTGAGCCGAGTCTTTAAGTCCATCTTGAATCTATTTGTAACTTTTCCCAACTTGCCTATCATCATACAGAAGCTAAAGTGTCTTGGTATTGGGCTGCTGAGCATTTTGGACTTTGTCTTTAACGCTGAGCAGTGCTGAGGTGTCTTTCATTTAGAGACAGAGCAGAGGCCGTGCAGCCAGTGGACGGCCTTGAACAAGCGTCATTAGTGCATCTGGAACCTTTGCCAACAGCCTTAGGATTGTTCTAACCCAGCCCTCCCTTTCATGCAATGAAACTTCATGCTCATTATTGTCAGCCTATAGCTGGCCTTGCCGGCTTTGTGCTGAAGAATGTGACTTTGAGTAACATTACTTAATCGATTTGCTATGTGTCTGTGTACTCTTATTCTTCTTGATCCCTTTTGTTGATGAAAGAGAGTAGTAATGGACTTAGGAGGCATTTCAGGTGTCTTTATGGGTATAACCAATGTGCACAATTGCATTATACCCTGAACCAAAGAAAATAATGCAACCATGAGCTCCAATTACTCTTGAAGCTCATGGTTGACTGGCTGATAGTTTTATGAAAGGCCTCAAGATCTTGTTAAAATTTACTAGCAGCATAAGATCAAGAGCAGTACGATTAGACAAAAGCTTTTCCTAATGTGTTTCTTAATTCCAGAGCGGCATGTCTTGGCCACATGGTGGGTTCTGGTTGCAGACTGAAGCGGTTGGGTTACAGCCTGGCTTGCTCTTGCCAGCAGCTTTTAATGGACTTAAAAGGTTCTTCGAAAGGAAGACTTTCACTGCTAGATCATGTGTGTCAAGAACGACAGGGACAAAGCCTGGCTGAAGCATAAACACAAGTCTGTGGTGATGAAGGATGTTGTTGCACTTGCTCGTCTTGGTCAGCACCATGTTTATGAGCCAAAGAGAGTAATGTAAAAACCATCTGTCTCAGGTGAAGCACTATGGCAGATGCTTTCTATGTCACTGCTTTAATTGCACAATTCTTTTTGGTCGCCTATAAAGTATTGGTCTGTTGCTGTTCTCTTCTCATGGCTGGTGTTGCTCTCTTCATTTGTGCAAAAGGATGTAAAACAAAGTAGCTGTTTAGATCTCCTGCTGAGAGGACAAACACAAAGGGCACGAGGGATAGAGATGGGGGCAGAGCGTGTGAGATCCACGCTCTCATTAAAAGTTTAAAGAAAAGGCTGGCACTGTTAGTAAAAACGTCTGGTGAAAAGAGGAAAACTTTTGCTTTGTTGGGGGCTGTCTTCCACATGGTCATTAAACTAATGGTGTAATTAGTCTGGAATGGAAACTAAAGTATGTGCTTATGCAAATGATTTACTGTACTTGCTATGCTTGATCATTTGAAGGTGCATTCTATTTTTCTCTTAACTAGGACGAATCTTTGTACTTCAGCAAATCATTAAAAACTTTCTTTCCTCTTTCAAGAACTAATCTTTTCATCTTAGTTCTCTTTCTTTGTCTTCTTCACTCTACACAGTGCAGACACTGATTCATGGGGGCCAGAGCTGAGATAATTGGAATTGATTGGAGATGATTAGAGATGGTTAGAGTTAGTTAAAGCTGCCTGTGATGGATGACACTGACAAGAAGCCATGGGAACGTATTGAGAAGGCGTGAGGTTGTGGCAGTGTTGCTCGTGAACAATAACAGTGAAAGCTTGGATTGCATTTGTCACTGTTTCCTCCCTCACTGTCCTCATCCTACTTCCACTGCACCTCTGATCTGTAATCTCCTCGTCCCTGTCTGTAATTAGTGTCTGCTCTCAGTGGGAGTACTCTTAAGTGAGGAAGCACCTGAGGATACAGATCCATCAGGGGCTTGAGGGGCTGTGGTGCTGGGCTTTGGATTCATTAGCATGAAGCTCTAAAACGAAAGTAATGGGAACTATTGTAATTTTGTTTTCTATTTTCGACTCTTCAGGCATACTGTCTTTTACACTGAGTGGCTGAGCTCATGGCTGAGTGGGTAGCAAGAGGGTAGTGGGTAGTGCTTCTCTGGCCTGCCCAGACATCCGAGATGTCACTGATTTTTGTTTTAATCCTCCATAGCCTCATTTTCTCAAACATTACCTCCCCCAATATAAACATGTAATACCTCATTTTAAAGCTCAGAATAGGCTGAATTCATTACTGTGAAAACATCCACAGCCCTATAATTGATGTCAGCACACCAAATAATGTTTTTGTTTTAAATCCACAGTGCTGTGTTAGCTGTTAGCATCGTCTTTTTTCCACAGGCCGTAGTGTCCTGGAAATATTTTATGTTTGAGGACAGGTGTTATTCAAGATTATTACAAACATTTAAGTTGAATAACTCTCACATTGTGCCTGTAGCTTGGTTTTGCATGTGGAGCTCGAGCCTAGGGGGATGCTTTACTCCAATGGCAGTGTGCTCACAGGAGGTATGCTGGATGGTGGGGGGTCAGCACTTGTAGAAGAGTTTCGGAAACACTGGCATTGAATTGGAAAGAAGGCGTGTTATATTCTGTTCTTACAGCCTTCTTCGAATCTGTCATTTCACCGTAAATGCTTGACAACGAGCACATTGATGTACACAAACCAAAAACATACATGCTGAAACAAAGTAAGACACTCCGAGACACAAATGCTTGGTGAAAATGTAAGTAAGTCTAATTAGATACAAACAAGAGAATAGCTTTTGTAATTATATCTTTGCGATGCTAATGTGGGGATGGTATGCTTTCAGGCATCAGGCCTACATACTTTATATGCTTTTACTTTGACTTTGTGCTTTGCAACGTGTTTGTATTGGAGTGTTTGGTGTTTGTTGATCGCCTGATGCTCAGGGAACTGGAGTGAGAAGAAAAAAGTATTTGGTGGTGGCTGTAGAATAAATAATGTGCTCTATCATTAAACTTATAAATCCTTGCGCTTGCTCTGAATTCATGTTTGTTTCTAACTTTGTTCTGTTTGTACCTAGTTATTTTCATTTTGAATTATGGCAGGTTGCTGTCAATCAGCAAATACTGTTGCTTACTGCATACTGTGGCTTCTTTGTGTCTCAGTAAATGAACTCTGCAACTTTTGACTTTTTCTTTATAAAAGCCAGTTTGCCGGGTAATTGTTTTAAATGTTGAAAGAATAATGCTTTGAATGCATATGTGTCTGGCAGCTTTCTAATAGTTCAAGCTGGTCTTGTCATTTCCCTTTCTTTGTTTGTGCTGATGAATGACCTGCTTGAACGTGCAAGGTCTCTCTGCTTCACTCTCTGTTGGACGGCGCGGGCCCCTTTTTGGCACTGGTACCCATGGCAACGCATCTCCATCATGATCATAATAATAGTAGATCATAATAGTTTTACTCAAAATTTGAAAAAGTATATTTTAGATCATCAATCGTGTCAGCATTGATGAATGTATTGTAAACTGTAGGGATTGTTTATATGTTTTTTTAGAAGTGTACAGAAAACTAATGTATTTTATATAGTGATTTTATTGTAGATTAGATTTATAGATTGTAATGATATTTGTACTCACCTGTCCAGGGACTGCAGATGGAAAATAGCTACTTTGCTAAATCTGGTACAAATCATCTCTTCTTTTGTAAAGACTAATGGTTTTGTACACTGTCCCTGTTTCAATAAACAATAAACTAACTAACTAACTAGGGTACGGTGCCACAGTCCAACTCAGACTTTATGTAAACAGTCATTTTTGGGGGTGAAGTATAAGTTTCACCCAATCCTTCCACCTCATTCCAATTAAAATTCGACCTATGTGACCCATTTTGACTTTGCATTTAGATTAATTGTTGAATCGGTTTGCAGTAGAGGGTCACCTTTGCAAGTGTACACATTTAGATGCATGTATAATATTCATCATGTTATTTTTTGTGCGCATTTTGAATCAAATGATCTACCGATATATTCGTTCAATGAATCCATTTGTTGTTTAAAACTCATTTATCTGCATATTATTTATTGTATTTGAGGTGAAGCCATGTTAAAACTTGCATAGATTACATTCTAGGAGTGTGACAATATATCGCGATACATTCTCCCGTGATCGATTATTGATATGCATTTGCCAAGAATAGATTTTTTTGTTTTTTTTGTTTTTGTTTAATTTTTTAATAATTTTTTTTATTAGTATCAATACTTCATATATGGCTACATTACACATCTCCATTCCATTTATCATGAAATAAAGTGTATTTTTTCACTTAACATTTTTCAATTTTATGTATGCCATATATTGGCATGTGGTATATTGCTGACCAATATATCGATAATTGTCATAATGTGATATAATCGTTATCGTGATATAATCGTTATCGCGAGCTTTGTATCGTGTTTTGTATCGTATCGTGAGGTACCCTTAGGTTCCCATCCCTATTACGTTCTGGACAAAACTGTTTTACCATTGTAGATGGACATTTCTTGTTCAATGTTTTTATGTATTTACAGCAGTTGGAGTCTGTGTATGAGCCCTAAAGTTCACAGGCTTGTCTTTTTCAACCCATGTGATGGTGACGTGACACTGGTCGTGCTGATCCACAGTTCAATTGACCTTAGTTAAAATGCATTTTGACCAATTTAAACGTTACCAGAAAAAGGCGTTTATTTGGTTTGCGTGACATAATTTGACACTGCCTCATCTCATCCTTGTTAAATCAACTGTCTTTATAATTTATTTGGTATTTGTATTGCTCTGTGTGAACAACCCTGATCACTTGGCCTCACATGTCTTAAACTCGGTGCACGGCCTGCCCTTGGTTCTGGACCTGTCCTTGTCAGCTGGTAAAAA